CTCATCATCATCACTCATGGCTATATCTTCTCGCGTACGCTTGGCTAACTGTTGTTGACCCCATCTCGCTGCGGCTTTCTTCGATTCCGTGTCCCCAGGTAAACCTAGTATATCCCTTATATCATTCATAATCCCTGGAAAGACTTTCTTTACCGGATTTGAGTTGAACAACCGGGCAGAAACATTAGCTTCAGCATCACTCTTCTTTTCCTCGTTTGATATGCGTTCCGCAAGCTTCAAATGAATAAATACAGGTGATTCGGCAATTCGTTTTGTTTTAGCCATCTGTTTTATAAGGTATCTTTCAGCGGTTTTATGCAAATCTAAGGCCTGAAGTTGCAGTGGTTAGAAATTGGTCTCGAGCTCAACATCCGGGCTATTAGAGCAGTAGTGTCGCACCTTCAAAGCTTCAACCTCATTCAAACGCCGATTCAATAGCATTCTATCGCTCTCTTGTCTTGCGGCCTTTTCTCTCCGACCTAGCTTCTGCCGTTCGAATCCTCTGGCAACTTTGAGTGCGCGATGAAGAAGCACCACGCCATGTTGGACCGTCTGGTCAAGGCGTAGCCTCTGTATTCTCAGCTTCTTATCGCCCCAGTTATACGAGCCGTCCTCTTCCGATACATCGCGCTTTCGTTTCGCCATTTTTTCACGGCTTTCTGGATGGGCGGTGATAGTTCCAATAAGTTTGATACTCGAAGTTTTGGAAGTTGAACAATTATTATGCGCCAAGACAATTTTTTTCCCGCCTTATCTTGACAAGCTAGTTTAGTTGCGATAAGAACTATAACTACTCTATTACCAATAAACGCAACTTAACCTGAGGTACCAAGGCTATGTAGGTTAAATATCTAATGAAATGAGCATGGCAATGGCAAGCAAAAGCTATCAGTGTATGTCAGGTTTTATAATTATGCTGGCGCGGAAACCGCTCCATAACTGGATAATGACTTAATTAAGCGCTAATGCGCAGATTGTTGTATATATGATGATCTAGCCCAAAAGAAAAGGCGGAACAAAAAACGCTATACAAGTCCCAATGAAAGCCAAAAAAAAAATTAATCTAATGTGCAGGTATCTGGTACGTAGAGTTCCGAGTCGCTCATTTGAACATGTCCTCACTTTGCTCTAAATCTTCTTCTTCGGCAAAACCAACTACCGTGTTGGTCATCTCATTGATGACGCTGATGACACGTCGTTTGCGGTGTACTGTGTTTCCTTCTGAATCTCGCTTCGTGGCTATATTTGACGGGCTTGCAATGTTTGTTTGCTTTTGCCGGTCCAGGGTTTGTCGGACATTGTCAACAGTGCTTGTACTGGGTACGCGTACCCATTCTTCACTTTGATGTCCAATCGACATATCGCGGTCAACATTTTCAATACTATCTTCTGGGTCATTGCACGCAACCATGCTCCGCAGCCTTCGGGGCGAAACAATGTAGCCAGGCCGTATGAAAGCCCAAGGCTGGGAAGTCGAGCCTCGAAGGGACGCACGCATCACATCAACAACACGTAGTGGATAACCGTTCCTTGGTGATGCTGTGGGGATTAACTCTGCCGGGATCATGATATCTGTTATTGAACGACAAAGAGTTGTGCCAGCAGGTGGTAATGATGACTCATGATCGTCTGGAATGCCGTTGACGGACATCGACTGTGAAGGGGTAGTTGATGTAGAAGTCAGGGGTGTTGAGCTCCCAGATATTGATGTCGAAGCGGCAGCAGCTGCAGCAGCTCCGATAGCACCACCAGGGTGATATCCCTTGAAAACCTCAGCAGGCCCTCTTCCAGGTGTGGTATGAAGTCGTCGAGCCACGGCGAGAGCCAAAGCATCGCCAACAGCCAGTGCAACGGTGGTCGAGCTTGTAGGAGCACAAACACCGAACGAAACTTCCTCTGGTTCATGGATGGGCGATGGAAGTAGAATCGTGTTGGCATTACTAGAACCAGCTAGTAATGGACACGATGATGGCTGTTTGTACGCTGTTATCACAATAACAGATGTTGTCGAGGGAAGATGTGGAAGAACGAGCAGTAGCTCAGATGTTTTGCCAGAATATGTGATAAAGAGGACGGTGTCCGTCTATGTGAGTCCCCGTATTAGCACCACATTCATATCCAGCAAGAGGGAGCAAATCCCAGAAAACAAAAAAAAAAAAAAAACCGTCGGACTTACCGGTCTCACCATGCCAAGGTCTCCGTGTAGCGCTTCCGTTGGATGCAGGAACGAGCAGTATATCCCTAAACTGTTCATTGTAGCCACGACCTTTTCCCCGATCTTACCACTTTTCCCCACTCCACATACAATCAGCTTGGATCCTGCATTAATAGTGTTGGCGATCTGTTCCACAGCTCGTTCCATGTTATTCCGCGCCAGCTCGTTGGTGCTATAGACTCGCTCAAGGTTTTCCAGGGCGGCCCGTTCCGTAGCAATGACATGGATTGCCATATCGACGGACGATGGATGGGGTGATGACGAGGATGCGGAATCAACGCCCGGGTATGGGGGAGTCATGGGTAGTGGTGGGATGAGACTCGACTTGATGGTCTGTGGATTCGAAGGAACTATCGGAGGTGACATAGGAGAGAGCTGGCGAGTGCGTTTCCTGGCGTAGAGAGTGGACACCATATTGTGAAGAGTACTCGTTAGGGCCCAGCAGTAAAAGGCAGCGTAGACGCAGGCCTGCTAGAGAATTGGATCGTAGAGGGGTGTTTATCGACCGCTTCTCAGCAGCGGGGGCGCAAAGGATATTGGTATCTGTATCACGTCGATAAAATATAAAGTATACAGTAAATTTACGGGAAAATAAAGAAAAAAAAAAAAAAAAAAGGAATGGAATCCAAGCACTGTTCGGCTAAAACGAAATCCGGAACAACGGTAAAGATAGGGGATCCAGACAGAAACTGTTCTCATATATTCATATTCCCAGAAGTCTGAAAAATGGTCCAAGGCCCAGGGTAGACGGAGGAATGGAATATCCGAGGGAGGAGAAGAGTCCCGAGAAGGCCTCCAGGCCAACAGGATCTTTGCCCCAGGGCCGTTTTGCGATGCAGGGATGATGCAAACGGCACGCCAGCCAATGGGCACGGCACCTGGTATGTCGGATTTAAAGGGGGTGTGCCTGTTGCTAAGCAGCCGGGCCAAAGTGTGACAGGCTGGAATCAGAACCAAGCCCGCCGCCTCTGCAGCTTCTGTGAGGGTGTTTGCGTGTGTTGGAGGGGATGGCACCGCGCGAGAGGCGTTTTGAGAAGAGCCGAGAGGAGGGAAAAAAAAAAAAAATAAAGGTCTGCGGGTTTTAGATTGATAAGATCAAGGTTCACTGCTTAGTCAGTCGCAGGCGGAAAGTGTTGGCCCGTGGTTTGGTATTTCGCCATCCAGCTTTCTTTGAGGTTGGACGCTGGAGATGGAGGTATATGCTTGCCGAACAATGGGATCCAGAGTAACTAGTTAAGGGGCTGAGCAAAAAAGTTTGGTTGGCGGAGTTTTTCTCCAGAGACCAGAAGACGAGAAGGACGGGGTGTGCCTTACGGACGGAGCAGTTTAGCTGTGCGCACCACCAGTACGGATGAAACAGATAGAGTGGGCGGATGCTGAGGAATCTTGAACTCTCTTTGCGAAGATGATAGTCTGGCGCAGAGCCAAGGGATGTTGACATGCATGCTGTGCGAGAGGCGCCAGTGGGATGGAATCAATGATGGAATCATCTGTTGATAGTGAGAAAAGAAAAAGCAACTTCTGACCACCACATGGAATGTTGGATGCAACTATGTGCAGGTCAATGCTTCAGCGAGATTATCGATATTTTTGATGAAAATCAGAAAATTACATGGCATAGTAGTACAAATGCGAGCGTCGTCTTCATGCCTGTCTGTCCGGCATGAACGAGAACAAAAAAGCAAAGAGTTGCTGACTATTCACCGAACGGAAGTCTGCCGTCGGTGGTCTAGAGGAGGGTAGGCGGCAGCAGCGGGAGGAGTATCACTTCAAGGGTTTGACTCCTTTATGAATTGCTGCAATGCCCAATGACAAATTCTCGTAGCCATCGCCTGGAGTAAGGAAGCCGGCTTTGCGGATCATGCCGCGAAACTCCTCCTGGCTGGGGAACCTTTCGATGCTCTCAACGAGATACTGGTAGCTGGCACGGTCTCCGGCCACAAGCTGTCCAATAAGTGGAATAGCACCAAAGCTCCACCGCTTGTATACTTTATCGAAAGCGCCGACGGTCACCTTGCTGAACTCGAGACATGCAAAGACTCCGCCAGGCTTGAGAATGCGGTAGGCCTCCTCCAACGCAGCCTGCTTGTTGGTAAAGTTACGGATGCCAAACGCAACAGTGTAGAGGTCGACTGAGTTGGATGGGATGGATGGCATTGACTCTGCATTGCCTTGCATGAACGACAGCCTATCGGAGTTATAATATGGCGTGTCAAGACTCCGCTTTTTCCCCTCTGTTAGCATGTCTGGGTTAATATCAGCAACCGTAACCCGAGTATACTGATCATGCTTGATGTTTGTGGCATGGTCCAGCATGCGAAATGCAATGTCTCCCGTCCCACCAGCAACGTCAAGTATATTCCACCCTTGGTGTTCGACCTCACTGCTGCCACTTTTGCCGGGGCCTTCACGCGCGTACTGACGGCCAGGATTTAACGATCGTACAAAATAGTCCTTCCACAATCTGTGAATGCCGAGTGACATGAAGTCATTCATCGTGTCGTAGGAGCGAGCTACTGAGCTGAAAACGGCACCAACTGCATGTGAGAGTCAATAAACTGAGCTTCACTCGACTAACTGAGGGCAGGCGGATACCTTACCTCTAGATTCCTTCTCAGACTCCCGCACCGTCTCGAAGCCAAAATGAGTCTTACGCTCATCAGGTTGCTGCCCTGGGTTCTGCAGTCGAGCAGAGCAGGAGAAACACCTGTAAGGGGTTTGAGGCACCAGCGGCCGTCTCTTTGCACTCCAATGCAGTCCTCGCCACGCACTTCTTGATGCCATATTCATTATCTCAACAGCTCTATCTCTCTGCACCCCTTGTTTTTCTCTTTGCTTCTCTCGTTTCTCCAGTCACTCTTTTGCTGCTTTTCTGAAGCTCAAAAAAGCTCCAGAAATTTAATTCCTGTAGATTATGTAACACAATAAATCATATCATGTGATCAAGTTTGAGCCCCAAAAACTTTATAGCAGAAAGTCTGGGACTAAGCTTCAGCTGAGGCCCTGGTATCATCAACAACTCACAAGTATGAATGTGCAATGAACAATATATATAGCATTTCACTATATCCTAGTCTACCGGTGGGACTGCCTTGCAGTACCTAGGAATAATGACTACCACATCGAAGAGCATACCTCGACGACTTCTCGCTAGATGAAAGTGAGCGCTGTCAGGCCTGCGTTTCCAACCCACAACAGACCAAAATGCTGGATTCTAAATTGTTTCATTTACTAATCATCGAGACTCAGCAAGCAATCCTGGAAAAATTATATGCGAAAGGGAGATTGAATTATAGTCTGACCTGACCACGACATAAATATACCTAGGACCTTAATATTATATCTTAACTGGGCTCAGTTGTGTGGTGTTCTTTAGGGCAAGGACAGCTCAACTCATCCAGTCTTTACATTGCTTATAGCAAGTGTAATAGCCTGGGATGGAGCTTTCTACTCGACTTTTCTTTTAGCTTGAAACTCCTATTCTTCAACAATGAGAATATGCGTAAGAGCTGAGGTCTTCACATCTCTGTTGGCAAAGCAAGGGTGTGAAAACTCTTCGCTTTGAAAACCCTCCGATTTTCAGTTATTACAATGGCTTTATTTCCCTTCATATTACCTTTGAAGCACTCTAAGAGCTAGCTTGCATTTGATTTGCCAGGTGATGCACCTGTTACGGTGATTGATCTTGGCTATAAGACCTGCATGCCGGTAGTTGTGAGCAATATATATTGAACATATATTGGAAGGAATCATGCGTGTAACGGCTGCTCAAAACATTTTTAATGTCCTCGACTTGAAAGAATCTTGAAAACATAGAAAGACAACCCGAATGAACGGAGGTTACACTTACAGCTGACTCAGGGGTTGCATGACTACCACATTGCCTAGAGGAGAATAAGTACTCATGGATCAGTGTTCGCCTACTAATGACAAGGGCCTCCTTCAGCTAAAATAGCTCTACATGGCCTGCCCTAGCCGCTGCCGTATCTTGTGGTGTGTCTATGGACCCTAGTTTGACATTGTGAAAAGACATATCGGGTGAGCGTTATGTAAAGCGCGGCTTCGAAGTACAGATTCGGGCATGCTAACTACCTGCTGTCTAACCACTGGATAACTGACTAAATGACACGCTATGAAATGAGCCAATTTGAAGGGCTTTCTACATCGCTCAATAAACATGATTCATGGGACGGTCTAGCTTGTAAAAGGCTAATAAGGAAACCAACAAGAATAGCTAACTCACATATTTCGTTGCATAGTACGCCTTGCAAGAAGCTTATCATCTCCAAGAGAAGCCCAGAGTTGAAGGAAATTTTCTTGTCAGCAACCATCCATTTTACCCAAACATACCTCCCAATACATCAAATTCCAAAAGGGGTATAAAATATACTCTTCGTTATGTGTTGGAAGAGGGTAGCCTTACTTCGAATCACTATATTGACCTAGCATGAGAGTCAAACCTTGAATCAAAGAAAACTACCTTGTCAAACTTGTAATATGCAGTATGCAGTATGTGCTTTGAAATATACTTCGTATTCCGTACATTGATGAAATATAGCTGAGCGAGTGCGGCCACTTTCCTAGAAGATCCACATAAGTAAACCGAACCATACAAGGAGATTGTTACACCAGGATAACCTTGTCGCGCAGATAAAAAGCACAAACGAGCCGTGCTTCAAGTAAGTAGTTAAATCCCGCGCTAAATTCGTCTGATAATTGAAAACCTGTGCCAAGTCGACCAAGGCGCTTTTTCCCCGCAAATTGTAGCGTAGTCAGCGCTTATATGTTGCTAGGCGCCTTTTCTTGTCTGTCGGGTGGGTGTTCTACCAGCACCAATAATGTGAACTTCGGTCTCAACAATATAGTTGATAAGAGCTTTCAGACCGGTCTTACTTATATACCCTTTAATTAGAGAGCGGGTTATTTAACTAGCTGCTTGGTGAAACTAAATCTACATCCTTGTTCTTCAGTTTGTCGGCAACATACGAAGACGCCCCATAGAATCACAGTTCTATGCCACCTATATGGAGAACCATATGTTATTATTCACCTAGCTGGAACTCCGCCATGGAATAGAGTCGATCAGAGAATCAGGGAGCTTGTGATAATTCAAAATACAATGACCGGCCGCAGGTATAAATCATGCGATTGGTCCCCGCAAACCTTAAACTTTATTGGCTAGCCAAATTCTTGGCATACCTATATCTTGACTTTTACTAGCGGGAAGGTTTGACTCTCTTGGCAAATTACATAATCTGAAATTTACTAATATCTGACTAAACTATCACATGACCTGCTTTAGGCCGACGCCAGCCGAGTTGCCCACCTTTCACCCAAAGCGGGAAGAGAAACAACTTCGCTGCCATCGGTTTTTTTAATGCGCTGAGATTCATTTGATAGAAGAGCCAACATCGAGCAGTCAAGGCGAGTCTCAATTGATACCATCACGGTACAGCAGACAGACAGCAGAGACGAACAGCCGACCAGACAGACGACCAGACACACAGCCGACAGCCGACCATGCCTGTCCTTCGCCTTGTCCGCCCCGCCCAGGGAGCTTTGCTGCGCGCCTCTAGACTGCCTATGAGCAGGGTACGATGGGTCAGCTCAGTGTCACAGCCACCAGGCTCAGACCAGTCAGTATCAGAGCAGCAATTGCCCTCTGTCGAGCATCTGAGCAGGGCGAGCGCTAACTGATACGTTCGGAATTTAGTGTTCGGTTTCCTGGCGCCGTGAACAGCAAATTCACATCCGAGATGTCCTTCGTCACCCCTGCCTCGAACCCAGCCATTCCGACATATAGGGTAATGGACTCGGAGGGTATGATTGTTGACAAGTCGAGGGGACCGCCTGACGTCAAGGATGAGGAGGTTATCACTTGGTACAAGAATATGCTGAGCGGTAAGGAGAGAGCTTCGGCGCTAGGCCCCGAAAATACGCCTCGGCTGACCGAAAGATGAATTTACGTAGTAAGCATCATGGATATGATTATGTTCGAGGCACAGAGACAGGGCCGTCTTAGTTTCTATATGGTAAGCTATCATTGTCTGATTGATGGTGCGTTGCCATATCGGCTTACAGTTTGCATCTAGGTCTCTGCGGGAGAAGAAGGTATCGCTGTTGGCTCAGCAGCTGCGCTATCTATGAAAGACGTCATCTTCTGCCAGTACAGGGAAACTGGTGTCTTCCAGCAGCGTGGGTTCACCTTGAAGCAGTTTATGAGCCAGCTTTTTTCCAATCGCAATGACTCTGGGAAGGGTCGTAATATGCCTGTCCACTACGGAGGCAAGGACGTGAACACCGTGAGTTAATTAATGCCATCTGCTTTGTGCTCATTCTGACACCTCACTTCTAGCATACCATCTCATCAACCCTCGCAACTCAAATACCCCATGCTTCTGGTGCTGCTTACGCACTTAAGATGAAGGCGCTGCAAGATCCTAATGCCGAGAAACAAGTAGTTGCCTGCTACTTTGGTGAGGGAGCAGCCAGTGAAGGAGACTTCCACGCTGCTCTCAATATTGCTGCCACACGCTCCTGCCCTGTAATCTTCATCTGCCGGAACAACGGCTACGCCATCTCTACTCCAACCCTAGAGCAGTACCGAGGAGATGGAATTGCAAGCCGTGGTATCGGTTATGGAATCGACACCATCCGTGTTGATGGAAACGATATCTTCGCGGTCCGTGAAGCCACCCTTGAAGCTAAGAAGCGAGCTCTTGAGGGTTCAATGCGTCCCGTTCTTATCGAAGCCATGAGTTACCGTATCTCTCACCACAGTACTAGTGATGACAGCTTTGCTTACCGTGCCCGCGTCGAGGTTGAGGATTGGAAGCGCCGTGATAACCCTATCTCTCGTCTCCGCAAGTGGATGGAGAACAAGGGCATTTGGAACGAAGACTTGGAGCGCGAGACCCGTGAACAGCTTCGTAAGGACGTCCTTGCGGAATTCGCTGCCGCCGAGAGAGAGAAGAAGCCTGCGCTGAAGGAAATGTTCACCGACGTCTTTGCAGAGCTTACCCCTGAAGTAAAGAAACAGAGAGAAGAGCTTAAGCGCATCCTTGAGAAGTATCCCAAGGAGTACGACCTTAGTGAGTTCGAGGGTGGTTTAAAGGGGTTGTAAATGAGACAACCTCTGCTTCAAACCACAAATCACTCCCTCTGTTCGCCATTTCCCGTCTCCTTGGATATTTGGAATGATGTCCAATATATCATATGGCTCATTTTTTTCATCACCCTGCAACAGACAGACTGATTTATACGCAAAATAAATATATAGCGTTGTTTTGGCGTTTCGTTCTCTTAAGAAACGTACTTGACTGGCTTGGTTTTTTTTACTCTTTTTTTTTTTCAATTTTGTCCTTCACCTTGAAGAGCACGCTAAAATGTACATACCATAGATCAAGATTCTCTTTTGGAGCAGAGTGTACTAGATATAGAAATACACGCCTTCAAATATGACACAGTCTACTGACTGCAAAAGTGGCTACTTTCAGTTGCCAAGAGGCTTCTCTCAAACCCAGACCTAAAGACCGTACAAAAGCGAAAGGGAGGCATTAGATAACGCTACAGAGAAGACATAAAAAGCATGAATGATCGTAACATGGCAAGTCAAACAGACTCCATATAATGCAGAAGGGGGACAGCACGTTAAAGGATGGACTCGCAATAAATCAAGCAAAATCATAGAGATTGGAACAAGCGAGTCCGATTACGACTTCTTGTGAGTGGCCAACACAATATTCGGCAACCTCCCTTCATCGTAAATTACTGCGACTGGGCCATTGACTCTGCTGCAGCTGCTAAAGCCTGCTGAACAAGCTTCTTGTTCCTCTTAACTAGAGCCATAACTTTCTTGTCGATGGTGTCAACTTCTCGCCTCGATACATCCAGCTCAGCCTGAGATGCGTTAATCATGGCTCGTAGTTCAACATCAGGCATGTTCATTAGCTCTTCAAGGCCAGGGCCAAAGCTAGGACGACGTCCACCCATCAACTTTGACGCAGACGAACGAATAGGGACAGTTTCGCCGCCACTACTAATCGCCCAATTATGAGAGCGCACCATCTCAGGCTCGGATGTGGATGTGTTTACGCCATTGCTTGCATGCGGCGGGTGGGACAAGATCGCAGATGAACCTTCACCGGCGATGCTGGACACAAGACCGTTCTGAGTTGAGTCCTCATCAACCCAACAAATATTGAACTTCTCAGGGGTAGCGAAGAGGGCATCCAACCCACCCCCGCGGTTTGTGATGTCAGGCTCAGAGATGAGAAGGGAGGGGTAAGAATTCTGAATGACATCTAGAACAGATGAGAGGCTCTTCTCCAACGCAAGATACCGGTCTTCTTCGTCGGCGGAAAGATGACGGAGGATACAGCCGGTAGGTGTGATGAGGGCACGGTGCTTGAGCTTATCAGGGTCACCATTGCTGATACGTACAGGTTCACCTCGGAGAAGCTGTTTCCGGTGCTCATCTGTCAGCTCAAGTGGATTCTGCAGCATGTCGTAGTCGTCGGCATTGCACTTCATATCTGTACGTTGGCCTAGATTTGGTGGGTTGAAGAGTAAGTGGGTGTTCAAATCAAAATCTTTATGTTGCTGAAGCTGTCCAAGGAGCGTGGGAAGAGGTGCCGTGCGTTCAAGAAAGAGATCTTTGACCGGTACACCTTTCGACTCGGCATCCATTGTCATTTGCTGGAGGGTGTTATTCTCCCGCCATGGTTCGCTTTCTACTGGAGCTTTTGATTCTTGTTTCTTTGGCTCCTCCTGATTGATGTTTGACTTGGATGGTGGGTCTTCGGGCTCCGCTTGAGACTTCCCAGCATCATTACTTGATGATTCTTTCTGTTCTCCGTCGGATGCGTTGGCATCAACATCACTATTGGGCTGCTTCGGTGTCTTCTTCGTCTTGCGTTTACGACCGATGATCGGGGCTTGAGTTTCGCTGTTGGCTGCTGAAGTAGCTAGAAGGATTTCATCCTTTTTGGCCTCGGCATTTTTGGCCTTCAATTTCCTGTCCTTCTTCACTTGACTCTTTGTAACCGTTCGAACAGGCGCAGATCCAATTCTAGATGGTGGTGGCGAATTCGCTCGAGAAACGGAGGCGGACGTTTGGGCATCATACTCAGAGCCTACTGGCGTCGTTGGTCTGCTGACAGAAGAGAGATTATGTATTCCTGGTCGTTGTTTCACGCCCCATACAGATGTGCTTGTTGATGTTGTAGGTGGTGCTTGTTCTGACTTCGGCGTATCAACAACCCGTAAAACCCTTGGCTGGCGAGGAGCCGGAGAGTTTGAAGTACGAGAGTTGGTCCCTGGAGTATCTGGCCTAGATTCTGGACCGGCTGAAGAAGTAGCTAGGGGTGCAACACTCTGCACGGGGGTTGAACTGAAGACAGGTTCGCGAATCTTCTCAAATGTCGAAAGATCAAGTTTTAAGGGTTTTGATTTCCCGTGGCTGGATAATTGGTGTGTTTTTGACGATGAATTGTCACTTGATAAAGTAGTTTTGGCAGCGCTACCAGCCTTGGGTTTGGGAGACCCGAGGGATACTTCGGCAGCTCTACTAACTGGCTGCTTCAAGGGAGTAGCTGGAGAACCTCGTGCTGATTCGGGTGCAGCATTCGTCTCTGTGAGTGCTTGAGGATGCACTAGCCCTGGAGGTGGATTTATGTTCAAAGGAGTCTTTGGGAGTGAAGGGCTTGATGTTCTGGATTCACGAACGAGCAATGCAGGTGGATGAGCATGGGGTAAGCCGAACCCAGGCGGCACAGAGGGAGTTCCAGACCGGCTTGAGGTCAGCGATGATTCCCCTGGAAGAGAATTAATGATTGGCAGACGAATTGGGTCCGTCGGTTGTTTGTCGTAATTCGGCTTAGATGCTGGAGCCAACGGTGGGAAATCTTCGTCTTCTAATACCAAAATGTTAGCATATAAACCCGGAATATTTTCTGTCCTGTCTAACGAAGGTGGCGTAAGCTGTGATGGCAAGGAAGGGAGCGTAGTAGGGGAGGTAGGTGCAGCTACATGGGTAGCCCTGGGGCTTCCTTTGTTTCTATATACATATTGGCTGCAATTGGCGCTACAAGATCAGGGCAGAGGATACGTCGAATCACACATAACAAGTTGGAGACATCTATATGGGCAAAATAACAGTGAGAAATTTTGTTTCGACATAGGTAAGACTGGGCTTGGGTACAAGCCCATAAAAAACAGGGAGGATTAACATACAAAAAGATTTCCTCCCGAAGGAAAGTGTGTTTTTTGGGTATAGTCCGAAGAAACGTAGGTTGGCGCGAAAGGAAACCTGAACCCCCAGCCATAGATATGGCAGGCAATATGAAAACGTTTTCCCAATATCGCGAAAAAGCCCTTCGAAAAGCATATTCCTGGATAAATGTAATATGTATGACGCCTCCCGCCAGCCAAGTATCGCGAACATGCGATGTGAACGCCCAGTTGCACGCGTTTCAACGAATGTTTCCCGTATGCAGTGCTGAAATAAATGCCAAATAAAAAAACAAACGAAGAAGGAAAATTAAACAGCAGCCTCTGTACTCCTAGTGGGTGGTGGGTAAAAGAAGGGGGAAAGAAAAGGGAGAAACCATGTAAAACATAAACGCTTAGGTAAGGAGATTGGAATAATATGAAATCTCATACAATGGGAAAGATATAGGAAAATGTGGTTGATAGGGAGATGATGAAAGGGGTAGAAAAGGCTTGGGATTGATTTGGGGGAGCCACACAGTTTGGAGAAGGGTTATCTTTTACCACCTTCCAAACCCTCCACTGTACACCATATTGGAATGGTTGTACCCACCTTGACCCTGACTCCCGTACAGCCCCTGCCCAGCGGCAGCATTGGCGCCACCTTGGTGCATCCTCGCCTGCAAAATACTCGGGTCTGCAAGATCTACTACACCGCCTCCGCCGGAGGAAGTGTTAGCATGTCTATGCTTCTTTCCCCTCTTTTTCTGCTTCTGTGGCACTTGATCTTGATATAGACCAAGCTGCTGGCCATAGAGCGGGTTCAAAAGGCCTGAAACGGGAGCCAGAGGAGGGGGTGTGCTATTTTGTTGGAGTAAAGGAAACAGGAACTCACGCTTTGTTGCATCATGGGACTGGACATTCCCGCCAGTGCCCCTGGCACGCATAATTTCACGCATCAAATCAGCATTTCCATCTTGTTTGGTACCGAGCCCAAGGTTATTGTTCATCGTGCTGGTAAAACCATGGCCCTGGGCAAACATGCCGCCACCACTGACTGGAGGAGTACCGGCACTCTTCAATCCTGGTGGCGGGCCTTGAATACCGCTCACAAAGTATTGATTACCAAGAGTGTGTTGTGTAGTAGGGATCGAAAGAGGATTCGGGCTGGATGATTGCATCATAGGGCCCTGAGAACCAACAAGTCTGCCACTGGGGTTTTTGGAATTAACATCATAGGCAAATGAAAACCGCGAAGACTGCCTTGTATGTCCGGGTATATTATTCAATCCAGCCATCTGGTTCTGAAACGTTCGGGCATTTTGATCAAAGGTGCCAGACGAGGCATGGGCTTGGAGATCCATAATGTTATGCTGCTGGGCCCCAGCAGACTTGAGTAGCATGAGCTGCTGCTGTTGAAGCTGGGAAAGATTTCGGGCATTGACATTGATGTTCTGGAACTGATGGCTATTTGGAACAGGGGACCCCACAGCCGAGTTGTTGGCCGTTGCCTGCTGAGAAGGAGGCTGAATAGCAGATTGTGGTTCTCTTTGATGTCGCCCGGGAACACCAACGCCACCATGGGCGTCCTCTGGTTCACCACCTAGCTGTGAACTCCCGCTTTCAAGGTTCTCTTCTTCGGCTGGAGCTTGTAAAATTTTCCCATCGAGGGCATGTTTTGCTCGCTCTTGCTCAGCTTTCTCACGCATGGCCCGGCGTTTGACGCCTCCGTACGGGTCTATTAGGGATGGATGGTTCTCGATAAATACCAACTCGTTGTCAGGGACAGCTTCAGTTGAGAAGTGAAATCGGAACTCCGGCGAATTGATAGCTTTTACTAGCTTATCAAAAATCATGGTGGGAGAGGGAGATTCTGGTCGGCGTGCCGTATTCGGCTGTTCAATAGGACCAGCCGAGTCCGATGCAGTGTTCAGTTGTTCCGCTGTTCGTTGAAAATCTTTTCCATAGCCGTTTACGGGTCGAGAAGCCAATTGTTCGTTCGTCGGCTTAGGGCTAGGAGATGATCGACTCGCCGCTATACTCTCCCTCCTAGTTCTCTGAGCCAAGGAATCTCTATTCGCCCAGCTTGCAGACGATGGAAGGGCGGATGAATCCGTACTCGAAGCACGCACTCCGCCATCGTCCTTGACAGCGGGCCACTGGGTATTTGGAGCATTAACGGCCCTAGCATGGCTAATCGCAGGGGATGGACGCTGGGTGAGTTGGTTTGGCGCTTGTGAGATTACGGAAGACGATCCGTTCGATGGGTATCTTTGCGAAGAAATTGAATTCATGGATGAAAGGTCTTGTCGACTAAAACTGTTACTATCATTTCCGGTTTCATGAAGAAACGTGCAATTCCTGTTATTGCACGTTTCATTGCGGAGAAAGGAGGAACAGTATTTGGTAGTGCCATATTGCGCTCTATTAATAAATGTTAGTAAAACAAATGATCAACAAGAGAGAGGGTATATACATACCGCAAGACCCTGTCACCGTTAGGTGAGCCATCAACTGCCGCTATACATGTAGCCGCATCTATCTTCCTCGCAAAGGTCACGTAGACACCAATACCTTGGTTTGGGTTGCCACCTGGCTTCGCCTTGCTGACAACTATTTTGTCAATATCGCCATACTGGCCAAAATATTGGTCACCTCGGAGAGTTTGTAATAGTAAATTTTCGTCTCGGATTGTAGGATTGAGGCCGATAACATAGACGAGGTTCTTTTGAACCACCCGGACACCAGCCAAGTTTTTCCTACTTGAGGCTTCGATTTCTCGTTTTTCAGCCTCCTTTCGTTTGGCTGCAGCGGCTTTTCGATGTTTTAGAGCCAAGTCTGCCTTGAACCTATATGTAATAAACCCCGGTCAGTGAATTGTGATTTGTGAGGCTAAGAATAGGAATGAATCACGCACTCATCAACATCTGGGACACGGTATTGAATACTGTTTTCATCATAAACGCGTCTGCAATTTGGGCAACGGCCTTCTTCGCTATGGGTCTTGATATTGTTATAGCAAAATTGGCATATCTAGCAGTGATTCGTTAGCGGTTAATCTTCTGCTAGAGTTTTTGGCGTTTCACTAGAGGCAGAGAGGGGGCTATATTTTTCTTCTTCATATATTCGACGCGTACCTGGTAGCCACCACGGGCATGGCTTGAAGTTTTTATCAGAGAGATCAAACTCTTCAATACAGAGCGGGCTTTCAATGAGAGGATGTCAAGATTAGCAACCGCAGTCCAAGTGGCCAATCGTTCCGAGATATGTAGCAGACTCACCAGAGCTCGTCATCGTCGTCAATGACTGAGTCGTTTAGGGCTCTTGAAGACATGTTGTGAGAGATGTTCGCACCGGCTCAGAGACTGTTGGAATATGGGGCGGGAAAAAAAAAACTGAGGTTTCGAATAGGAAAGGGACCATGAACAAGCACGGGATTAAATTAGACAAGATAACCAGCTGGAGCCCCCCCGAAGACAAATGCAAAGAAATGAAAACCTGCCGTGAGAAACGGAGAGACGCCAAGGAGAGAGGAAAGACGGTGGGAGGAGGAAGACGTCGACGTCAAGATGGGATGCGCTGCGAAAACGAGGAGGGAGTGCAAGATGAGCTTTCTGCGCAGTGTCTTGGCGTCTTCTTCGTCTTCTGCTTAGGCGCCTGATTAGTCATGATATGTCACGTGCCATAATGTAATATTCCACGTGACTTAGTGCATCACATGATTTGACCAATCAGCGACTTGCATTTGCGACCAGAAAAGAACGTCGGGCCAGCGACGTCCAATCGAGATATCCAAGACACCTCTTTCCTCCGCGACACACAATCCCATCGGTGCTGCAGCTCAATTGCTCTCACAACGATGGCGTCCAGGCGATCTGTCCTGCGGCTAGGAGGCCGCCGCCCTTTGACCTCCGTCCAGACAGGCAGAGCCTCCAATTCTCTGCGTCTTTTCTCCGTGTCTGCACAATTCCAGGATGCGAAGTTTGTATCGAAGGAGGGAGTCCCTAACCCGCGCGAGGAGCCGCGACCTGGTAAACCGGACCCGGTTATTTTGTCTTGATTTGGACCCTCTCTTTCTCTCCTTTTTGCCCTGAAGGAACTTCGCATTGCTGACACATCTTGATAGCCGTCGGTCAATTGAACCGCCCGATCGTCAACCCAACAGACAAATATAAAGAGACGTCCGCAAAATTACATACCTACGGCCAATATCTCATCTCTTGTCTACCGAAGTACATTCAACAGTTTTCGGTTTGGAAAGATGAATTGACCATTTATATTCCCCCGGCTGGTGTCGTGCCTGTCATGACCTTCCTTCGTGACCATACCGCTGCCGAATACACTCAAGTCTCGGATATAACTGCTGTCGATTTCCCCACGCGAGAGTACCGTTTTGAAGTTGTCTACAATCTTCTCAGTGTGCGCCATAACTCCAGAATAAGAGTCAAGACATACGCAGATGAGGCCACCCCAGTCCCTAGTATCACTTCTCTCTACGATGGTGCTCTCTGGTTTGAGCGTGAGGTGTATGATATGTTCGGCGTGTTCTTCACCGGCCATCCCGACCTCCGAAGAATCATGACTGACTACGGTTTTGACGGCCACCCTCTGAGAAAGGATTTTCCTCTCTCCGGATATACGGAAATCCGATATGACGAGGAGAAGAAGCGTATTGTTGTTGAACCATTGGAATTGACACAGGCATTCCGAAACTTCGAGGGCGGCTCATCTGCTTGGGAAGGAATTGGCCAGGGTGTTGACAGAAAACCAGACAACGTCAGTATCAACGACCTTATCTCTTAGCTAAATATACGGGAAATACGCAGCTAACGCTTTTTTTCTATAGTTCAAACTTCCTACTCCAAAGCCTGAGGAGAAGCCTGAGGAGCAAAAGAAATAAACCAATTGTATATCACCTTCAATACATTACTGTTTTCGCTTGTTCTATTTTAATTGGTACAATGGTAGATTCGGTGGTTCATCATCTCAATCCTTTCCTGCCGGAAATTTTCCTTTACCAAATTTATATACAGATAACCCTGTGGGAGGCCACACTGAAATGCTCTCATATCTACATCCAGTCATCGGGAACTGCGGCCGTTGATGTATAAGCCCCCATATCCAATGTAATCAGCTTATCCAGCAAGGTCATACATCTGCTTTAAGTTACTAAAGTCAAGATAAGGGACATAAAACCTGCTAATGAGGCACCGTAGCCTGAAACATTACTTGGGGGGAGACGCCGGCCCCTTGCCTTGGGGTAGAATTAGGGTGATTACTAAGGACCCGTCGCGGTTCATACTCAACCTTATGGAATCCAACACTCTTCAGGTTGCAAGACAAGAGACATGCCTGGCGTACCCGACTCTCGCAAAGAGCCACCCAAGGAGTCCCTACTATGCTATTGCAAAGAGGAGTAAATAATTTTTCTTCTTCTGTCTGCAGTATGACTTTGAAAGGGGCCAGATTTGCTCCGCATAGCGCCGTGGGTTGCGATCCTGGTTCCCATAACAAGAACTCCCAAAAAGTCATGGAACGAGGAGGCGAGAGTCTGCATAAGAGCTTTTCTCTTTAGACAGGCCGTCTGGAATACCCCCACTCTCCATAACTATAGTACCGCATAGACTTTATGGAGTCTAAGCCTTAAGAATGCCCTGCTCGAGAGTGGAGATGCATACCGGGTGACCTAGATTGGTTTGATCCCAAGACAAACATATTCGAACCGCTTATTACGTACCGTCCGCAGATATAATCGGAGTAAGGGAACGTATCGATTGTTACACCGATGATCCCATATACCCAGATCCCAGTAGCACATCGTAACCTAATTGCGGAAATTGCGGAGCGCTGACTGGGCTGAATCGAGCAGTGGTAAGATCCTTTATCCCTAAGGTTTTGTATCTATCCAGACCATGATTCAATAGCCGAAGAAGGCTACGCCATCTTATCCCCTCCAAAACTGAACGTTTATCAAGATGACTACCGGACTGACTCACCGTGGGCGGCCGAAAGATATGGTCTCTAGCTGGAGATATTCAACGAAGCGCTAAACATATTATGGTCTCAAGTGAAACTAATGCAACATATCAAGCTGCAAGGAATCGTGCAACATGAATACCTACTGTGCTGTGAATTACCCCTGAATTAGAGGAAGGAATCGCGAGACGGGCACGGATAACAAGAATTCTGACATATAGAGCCTAATAAAGTCCATGTTTTCACATCCATACCCCCACAGTTGCGCCCGCCAGAGGGAAAGAAAGCCTGCACTACGGCAAAAGTAGGCACTATTTTAATATCTCCTGCCTCTCCTCATCCAGCGTTTACTCCTTTAGGAGATTGCCTGGCGTGATAACAGCCTCTAAACGCTCGAGATCTGCTATAGCTGAAGCTCACGGCCTTGGCTGGTTATTTCCCCGAGGTGGCACTGCGAGGCGGGCATGTTGAGGTACATCCCGTATACCTTTGACTGGCTACTACTATGGCCAAGCTTTGGATTGCCGATATCTCGATGCAAGCATATTCTTAGATCAGTGACATCATACTACCGGCTTGCATTTACGTAGACGTACTGCTATTTTGTTGTGTTTGTTACTGTACTTCAATGCTGTGCTATTGGCTGATGGTTCCAGTTACTGGTATATGCATTCTCCAGCCCCGATAGTTAAATATATGATACCACATGGGAAGCCGTTTGATGAAACCCCTGTCTAGGTAATTAGTGAATGTTGGGACTCCATTGAGTGATGACTTCACTCTCGACCAGAGAACTGATGCGGAAATTGCCTGGTTTCTCATTTTCAGCCACTGCTGTGCAATATTACCATGGAGACATTGAGCTGTCTTTTTATACTATTGTGGTTATGATTATCAGTGTACTGAAACCTGTCGACATCCATTGGAAAGCCCGGTACTTTCCAGTGAGTCTGCCGTTATCCTTTCAAATTCTCGCTATCAGTAATACCTAAGGTAGGCTTAACTACCCAGGTTGAAGAAGAGAACGATACCAAGGCCCAAGTCTCATTTACATCGGACCCATAACCTCTTCGTCCCCGTCCAGACTAAGCTAGTCCTAGAGTGTGGCGTTTGAGTCTCGAAGCATCTATCATGCCTGAAGATATAATTAGGCTTGTTTCAAGACAAGATTCAACACATGAACCAACGGCATTAACGCTTACACTGGAAACGCAATAAGGGCCTTTCTCTACTTTGATTTTGACTTGGTTCACCGCACAAGCAAGTCTGAATGGTAATCAAGGGAGAATAAAAGAACACACGGGTGCAACTTGAGGCCGAGTCCCAGCTAATGGGCCGTATTGCTATGCATGAAGATTACCTAGGCATGCAGGTGTCAACCCGGAATACATGCCCTTGGCAGCGGCGGCTTTCCGGACGTCGTGTTCAATAGGGGCGCGGCAGGTCGGGGTTTGCTGGGTGAAGGCAGTGCTTTCAGCTACATCTTTATTCCATCACATCACCAGAGTTCACAGCGGAACTACCCCAAGAGTACGAGGCATGTGGGTGCTTAAGTGCCTTATGCTTGTCGAGCATGGGAAAACACGGGGGTAGGCAATCCTCAGTGTTCCAGGCTTCAGCATGAGATTGTGATATCGTGTAAGATTTGCATAATATTCACCAAATGCGGCTATAGATCTTCAGCACACAGGGCTGTTGATGGCTACAGAAATGATCTATTCCCCCAACTTAACCCTACTGCCACAGATATGCATTCATGTCACGGCATTGCTGCAAGGCCCGAAGGAACTGTGCTGCTGAAAGTGAGGGTCTGAGTGCTGCTGGATCCAGTCCTGCTTCACATATTAAAGATCTCTGCACCGTTACAAGCCATTCATTCAACGACGACAACAGTGTGATATTTAACGACTCCTACCTATTATACCCTTCCTTGGAGGATACGATTCTATTCGCTGCTGCCTCTCACAACGACAACAGCACCGTCATGCCATACTGCACTCTACCGCATCTGGCAGTTTGTTGCGTCAATGAAGCAGATGTTACCATGGCAGGCTTCACAAATAACCCCAATATCGGCAGTTACCTCCAGGATTACACCGGGGGCGAGGATGGCTTTCCGTTCAACCCCTGCAGCTCGTCGACAATTGACCATCTCAGCCCATCATCAGGGTTGGGAACCAGTTCGTTAGTCTCGGCGGGCATGCCTGAGTGCCAAAGCAACGGCGCGGACTTGCCTTTGCAAAACTGCTCTGTGATGACGGTGAGATTGACGACAGGAAGCAGTCCATGAGTTTATCCGCGTTTTGATGGCGCACCAGCAGCTGGTGACGATAGATATCGGGAACTGAGATGGTCTGTTACGTGTAGCATGTAGATACTATAGATGGTTGAAACGCAGACAGTCAGAGAAGCTTTGTTTTTTCTAACGACTCGAGTTCTCAAGAGCTCCCGGATCACTGGATGACGGCGGCCTGGGCAGGAAGCACGCAAGCACGCAAGAGAGCAGCTATCCTGCCTGTCAACCCGTTAAGCTCCCTTGCTGCCGAACCCAGAATCCACCGTCCAGAGCCAGCTGTATGGACTTGCGAGCGAAACCGAGACTCTTGGTTCTGCATATCCGCCTTGGCTCGAGCTTATTGTGCATATCTTGGAATAGAATACACACAGAGATAAGGATAGGGATTAGGGGGTTTTAATTCGGGATCGGATGATGGATTCAAATATGTACAGCCCAGTAATTAATAATTATGAGTTATGTACGGAGTAAAAACGTTTTTGAGTTTTTAGTTGATGGAACATATGTACGTGTCAGCATGTTGAAGCCCATGCTTTGAATCATGGCAGCCAGCGCCCAAGGAAATGTGCAGTCTATGAGTATGTATGCATGGCAGATGATATGCTTGTTGAAAGGATAGTCGTCAAGTCGTTACTAAGTGAGTGGAGGAAGAGTAAAAAGGACGGGCCGCGTATTTCCCATCCCATAACATGGCAACCCGACCCAAGCGGCGAAGTCTTGGGCTTTTCTCCATCGGAGCAACCGATATGGCTGATGCAGCCGGTGTAGGGGATGCTGCTAGGCCGTTCCGGTCGGAATGACCAGATTCGAACGAGTGAGTTACTGCTTATGGTAGAACCGTCTTCGGGACCAGCCATCTTGCTGAGTGATGACTTCGCATTCGAGCGTGTAGCCTCGGAGCCAGGGGAGCAGGCGTGCCCAGACAAGCCAATAGACACCGCCGGCTGCGATGATTGAGACTCCGACTATGCAGTGGAGGTAGTACGGCAGCGATTTGTACACATTCTGCCCTTCCGTAGGGGGAACAAAGGGGGCGACGGTGAGGTAGATATTACTCAGAAGGAAGAATGTAACTATGGGCAGAGTGGCGCTGAAGGGCGGAGCCCACTGGTAGGACTCGCGGTGTAGGTATAGGTGTATAAGGCCCCCTGCAACAAAGACGTTGACGACTGCCAGGGGGTAGGAGATGACGCTGCAGGCTTGTTAGCTGTGATTCTTTCAACCCATAGAGAGGGATAGAGAAACGGAGAACATACTTGAGAATGAAGTTGTAGGCATCGCCTGGCGGAGGAGCTAGCATGATTACGACGGAAACGAGCCAGTGAGCGAAAAGACCTGCCAGGGGAGCGTTTCTGGGCCTGTTGCTCGCCCAGAACCTGGAGAACGGCAGGATGCCTTCACGGCCTAGTTCCTGGACGACTGTAGGACGTTAGACAGAAATGGCCATGTTGTACACAGAAAGAACAGTGAGAAGAAAAGACGTACGGCGGCCCTGGGAGAAGATGACGCTGAGGACATTGCCAAAGGCTGAGAGGGCAACGAGGACGGAGAGCGCTCTTTCAGCCTGCTCTCCGAACATGTTGCGGAAGAATGAGGCCGCCAGGATGCGGCCCGAGGAGACAATCTGGTCCTTGGGCACTGCGGCAAAGTAGGCAATCTATACGATCTCAGTCAGTACGATGCAGTCATAAGCAGTAAGACTGGATATATAAGACATACGTTGGCCAGCATGTATAGAGCAGCCACGGTCCCGAGAGCCAGCGGCCCGGCGATCTTCAGCGTCCGGACGGGGTTCTTGGTCTCGCTGAGAGCGTAGTTGGCGTTGCTGTAGCCGATATAGCTCCAGATCGAGCTGTACAGGGCCGTGACGACACCGTAAGCGCTGCCGGTGGTGCCCTCGAAGGCGTTGCTGAAGTTGTCTGGCTTGTCGATCCTGAGGGCGCCGCCCAGCGCCGCAAAGCCCGAGAAGACGATGAGCAGGATGACGAGCAGCTTGATGACGCCCAGCAGGTTCTGCAGCCGCAGCCCCCACTGCAGCGCGAGGCCGTGGATGAGGAAGGCCGCCGTGATGCAGGCCAGGCCGACGCCGCGCTGGTTCCAGCGGTCGACCTCGACCTGCGCGGCGTGGAGGATGTATTCGCCAAAGATGACCGAGTTCGAGCCAGCCCAGCCTGCAGCCAGCCAGCCAGTCAGCCATCGATTCTTGACAGTCAGTATACGGAAGAGGCGAAGACATACCCAGGAGCACGACGTAGCCGGCGTAGAGGCCCGTCACCAGGAAGCGCGGGCGGCGGAAGACGAACTCGAGATAGTTCTTCTCGCCGCCGTTGCGAGGCAGCGCGGTGCCGAACTCGAGGTAGACGGCCATGCCAGCGCCCGCGATGAGCATGCCGGCGACCCAGATGAGCAGCGAGAGGCCGACGCTGCCGGAGAGGGCGAAGATGGCGCTGGGCGTCGCGAAGATGCCGGTGCCTACCATGCGGTTGAAGATGAGGAAGACGGCAGAGACGAGGCCGATCTGGCGGCGCGACTCGCTGGTGTGATACTCCTCCTCATGGTGCTCGTTGGCTGCTACCAGTCAGTCAGCCTTCTTCTTCTCTTATTCTCTTTCTCAGTCCCAAGGACGGTCTCACCCTCAGCTTCGTAGCTGCGCAGCTTTGCCGTCGGGTCTGCCATGGTTCCAAACGACTTCGCCTGCTTCACTGCGGTGCGCAACGACGATTCACCAGCTCGCGGCGGCCAGACGCCTCTTATAAGGGCCCCTCGACCTCGATGGCCGCTCGATCTTCGCCCCGGCTCCATCTTCGCTATCTGAGGTCGAAAAGACGCCATCCCGAGACGATGCTAAGTTAGAAATCTTCCATGGCCGGTGGAGAGCCGGTGGAGCTGCCCAAAGCCTAGCAGCGCACGAAGGCCGTCGCAGCGTCGAGGCAGACGCTGGCTCAGGCCGGAGGACGGACGGAGCTGCAGGGATGAGGCAGCTCCAGCAGAGGGACCTGGCTGGAGGATCAGGCGTGTGTCAACAGCGACAGCCTGGATGGGACAGAACAGGCGCAGGACAGCCAGGGGCCAGGGATGGTGCGACTGCACAAAAGCAGAGACGGCGGGAGGGACGAAGGATAAAGGCGAGCGGCCGGCTCTGCTGGGACGGACGGACTGCTTGGGACAACAACTTGCTGCTACTCCGTAGAGCAGCTTTGGTCTCTGGAAGCCGTCTTCTTTGCTGGCTGCGGCCATGCTGATGATGCTGAGCTGCGGTGCTGCGGTCGATCTCGCAGCTGACGCCGGGTGACTGCCGGCAGCATGGAAACCAACGAGGAGACGAGACTGACAGACGGAGAGGTCGAAAGAGAGGACCATGAAGGCAGCAGAGAAGAAGAAAAGAAAAGAAAAAGAAGACGAGAAGACGAGATATACCCCGATATACCCTCTGGTAGCCTGCATGATCACAGCCTGTGTTTGGGCGTATGCCAGGCATCCGCAGCGACATCCACGGCTACTCCATGTTTCTACGACATCTACAACCCCATATTAGTTACTAATTGTTATTATTATAACATGCTCCTCCTACCGGGTTTGCTGGAGCGGTCGTGCCCAGCCGGGGCAGTCTGTCAATGGGCGAGCTAGTGACTTCGGTAGACATGTCTCGCCTGCAGTCTGCCGTCACGCTGGCTGAAGATATCTACTTTGTTGCATCGCAGTGGGACAAAGTCGAGTCTACCTTCATGGCGCTGTTTGCCTATTTAAGGGGCAGCCTCGTCTCCCTGCTGTTCGGGCTGGTTCTTTTGCTGTATTCACTTTCTAGAAGCTGTTCTCTCCGACTATTACGACTATAGAACTGCTGTTGAACAGTGTGTTGCTAGTTATACTACTAGTACTACTACTACGACGACGTCAAGATGATTACCTCCCTTTTCATGGCGGTCATCTCTGCAGCCGCCCTCTTTCTCCATGCTATGAGATACCAGCCTTTCTCTATCGATCCGAGAATCTACCTTCTCGTTGCTGCTCTCGTTTCCCTGGGCGTCATGGTCTACAAAATCCTGATTTATCCATTTGCGGTCTCCCCCTTGCGGCATCTACCAACCCCAAAGGTTAGAGCCTTTCTTGCATGCTTCATATCCACCCTGCTTTGCGCTGCTATGGTTGGATAAATTAATTCTCCTATAGGGACATTGGTTGCTTGGCCAGACGGTCAAGCAGTTCCGCGCCAACAGCCCCCACGGAGCGGCCGTTGATTGGATGTTGGAGTTTCCGGAGGCAGACCTCATCCGGCCCTTGATGCTGGGGAATAGCGAGTCTATCCTTGTCTGCAGTCCCCGGGCGCTGAAAGAAGTCACCCAGACGCACTGCTATTCCTTCGTCAAACCGAAGTTTCTTGCCCGTACCGCGGAGGGCATCATTGGCAAGGGGGGCATCTGCTTTGCTGAGGGAGATGTCCATCGCCAGCAGCGAAGATGTTTCAACGGTACGCTCCTTTTTTTTGTATACTTCAATATGTTCTACACTAACGTCCTCAGTTCCCTTTCTTGTGAAGAATGTCAAAAAGTCGATGCCGGCAATGCTGGCCAAGGGAGAACAGCTAGCCAACGCCATAGGGGAAACGGCCACTGGCAACGACGATATTGTAGAAGGTAGACATATTCTATACGCTCACCGCCCCCCCGGATCCCGGATTTATGGCTTAATGAACCATGGCTAACCCTACACAGTATCCTCGCTTATTTTAAAGGCTACTATTGACATAATATCCAAGGCCGTCATGGGCTACGAGGTCGACAGTCTCGCCGATGCATCCAAGTCAGAGTTCTACCTGAGAACGATGGATGTCATGCACTTGTCGACCACTGACCAGATAATGCTCGCCTTGGACAACTTCTTTCCGGCTCGCAAGTGGATCCCCATCGAGGCCAACCGCCGCTTCTTACATGCAGGTAAGGTCATCAGCGAGTTACTCACTGATCATGTCAGGAAAACCATCGCCAGAATCAGGCAGGAGCCGGATGCCGAGAAGGACCTCGATAGCAACCATACGGATATCTTCACCATGATCGTACGGGAGTTGATCGAAAGGGGAGATCCTTTATCCGAAGAGCTTTTAGTTTGTCAGGTACATCCTCCCTTGTTCTTGCGTATAACTCTTATCGTGGGGACATCACTAACTTCTTTAACATAGTTACGAACTCTCATGGTGGGAGGACATGAATCTACCGCCAACTCAGTTGTCTGGTGCCTCCATATGCTCGCTATTCACCCGTCTGTCCAGACCCGTCTGCGCGCAGCCATACGCGAAGTGATCACAGAGGACTCGTTCACCTACGAATCAGTAAACTCGATCGACTACTTAGACTGTGTCATTAAAGAAGTCACCCGCCTCTACGCTTCGTGTAAGGCATCCCTTCCGCTCCATCATGAATTTGTATGCTCACCTCTACTAACACTGAGCAACCAGTCGTGTCTATGCTGCGCACCCCTATACATGACATCGAGATATGCGGCACTCTCATACCCGCTGGCACTCTGCTAACGATGTACCCTGCTGTGACCCAGCACAACCCGACTATCTGGGGTCCAACTGTAAACGAGTTCAACCCGGATAGATGGAATGACTTGCCCAGTGCCGCGCATGACCCGTATGTGTATCAGGTCTTCTACAGCGGAACGCGAGTCTGTGTTGGTCGAGCGTTTGGTTTGCTCGAGATCAAAACATTCCTTACCAAGCTTTTGTTCAAGTGGGAGTTCCATCCCATTGATAAGGAGCTCGAGATGCCGTGGTCCGGATTTACGTTGAAACCCACGCATGGGCTTAAATTGAGAATTACCCCTGCTCCTGAACCATGATTTTTGTTGTTTTGTATGAATGAATGAATTTGATAAGAACATATATATACATATACAGTATAAGAATGATGATTTTTCGTTAAAAAAGACTCTAAAGTGTTTTGCGTTCAGACCTGTGCAGTGCTCTGGATATACCCTTTTTCTTCTTCTGTCATCTTGTTATCCCCCCTGGAGAGTCTGAGAAGTATCTCAGCTGCTAGCTCAGGCTTCCCTGCATGGCCAAAGAGCCGGTACTGAGCAGCCGAATTGAGGCCAAAGTACACTGCTAGCAGCACCTGGTAAGCCTGTACTGGGTTAGAAGTAAAGATCCGCTGGAACAAACGCCAGAAGGTCGGGGCGGCGTTCAGCTGACTGAACAGGTCATCGCAGTACGGCAAGTACTTGATTATGGTGGTGTGTCTATCCGAAGAAACCATCTATCATCGATCTCTCTTAGTTGGAGGAGACCAACAAAAAGAACATAGTAGGCATATCACAACTTACCCGAGAGGCTAGATCCTCCTGATACACATAGATCGATCTCTCCATTTGGTCTGGGGAAGGCAGCGTAACTTTCCCCGTAATTGCACCCACCGCCCACCTCGCCTGCGCCTCAGCAACTGGGACCAGCGGCCCCTCAAGATGCACGTATCCGATACAAAAGAGGTTTGGATACCTCGGCGCGGCAACAAGCTTATACAGGTTAAGACTGTTTCTGGCTGGCAGCACGCTATCCTTCTCCTGCATCCGATAGTACTCGTCCAATAGGTACGGCAGGTCGATGTCATAACCTGTACAGCAGATGATGACATCTACTTCCAGGATCGTCCCATTGGTTAGAACGATGCCATATTCCGTTATCCTGTCAATACTGGCCCTGTGGGCAGTGATACGACCTGTCCGGATGTTCTCCAATAGGTCGCTTCGAACAGTCAGGTTGGCCTGGAAGAGCGAATGCTGCGGCTTGATTGCTTCGGGTAGCGAGCCCACGACGGCCTCGCATAGCTTCATCTGACACCATTCCGAGAGCCGCTTGGGAAGTGTTGTCTCGAATAGTCGGCCTACGTAGGTTAACATACATACATACATTTCTCAGCATGGATACCTAACTGTTAGGTGTGACCCTTAATATAGTCATAGGCGGGTAGACTTACTGTCCCACGCCTCGGCGGGTTTGCCGAGGACGTAACGGGGAATAACCCAGCCGCCCCGGCGAGTGACCAAATGCACCTCACTGGCCACCGAGCTGATTTCGGAGGACAGGTCGGCGGCTGAATTGCCAAACCCGATGATGGCGACTCTCTTGCCCTCGAACCTCGCCGGCTTTCGGTACGTGTGGCTGTGGAAGAGCTCGCCCTGGAACTTGTCCCTGCCAGCAAAGTCCGGTATCATCGGCTTCGACAGGGTCCCAGTACATGCAAGCACGGCGTCAAACACAACCTCTACGGGCCCATGGCCTTGCTGCTGGTAGACGACGGTCCATTTGCCGGGATTATCGCCGGTTTTCCGCTGCTGCTGCCTGCAGGAGATGACCTTTGTCTGCAGCCTGATGTACGCTGCCAGCCCGAAATGCTCGACATACTCGTGTATATACTGCAGAAACTGGCAATGGCCGAAGTAATCAGGGTACCTGGCTGGGTCTATGGGGAAGTCACTGAAGGAGGACGTATCACGGCACGAATTGAGCGTCACATTGTCGTAGATGGACGAGGCTGTCTCCCCGGTCTCAGGGTCAGGGTCCTCGTAGTTCCACTGGCCGCCGATGACATCCCGCCCTTCGAAGACGGTGGCCTCTGTGATGCCGTTCTCCAGACACGTCTTCAACGACGCCAGGCCCGATACTCCTGCCAACCGTCAGTAGCTGGGCCGTGGAGCCGCCGAAGGTAGGGTGTGTGTAGCCCCTTACCGGCCCCGATGATGGCTACCCTCAGCCCCATGATGACAGCCACTGCACCGCCAGGAGTGTCTAGGTGAGATGTGCTAGATCTGGAGTGAAGTAAACAAGAGAAGAACACTGTAGCTTCTATAGCTTCTAGCTGTGTGACTTCATGAAAAGGTGAGGTCGTAGCTTCAGGGGGCAAACATACAAATTCGCTGTCTGTGGTTGTTTCTGCCTTCAGCCTCAGGCCAGCCACGTGAGGAAGGAGAAAGAACTAAGTATATAAAAGAAGACCTTCAAAGGAACACACAAATACATCTATACATCTACACTGAGCGCATTTTTGAAGACACCATTTTGAAGACACCACCAAAACGCGGTAGACACAAAGTCCAGAGAACAAGCCATGTCTGGCTTCAAGCGCCGCCTGCAGCCTGCTACGGGCCTTGCCGAGAGCAGATACTTGCCCTACTATCCCGCGATGATAGATGTCAGCAGTGTGAGTCTCCTGTCTTTCTTCCTTTCTTTTCCAGTCCTCCTCCTGGCTTCTCTTGTATCTTTGTACTTCATATCAGTTCTGGAGCAAGCCCCGAGACGTCCAGGAAGAAGAGCCGAAGACGAGGACGCTGTGAGGGGTCTCGTGGGTGACGCTGCAGCCCGTATCCCTGTCCGGCCCTGCATATGACATTTTGATATTGACATCCTGCTTGTTATTTCTTCTTCTCCTGCTTCCTCTGCCTCTCAGTCCTTGCTGTGAAGAAGCGAAACCCCCCCCCCCCCCCACTGGAAAGTGATAGAAATGGTGATAATGCCGAGATATGGCTGCGTGGAGCTACGCGAACGAGAGACGCTGACTGCTGCAATCATATCTAGGCTACCCAGCGCGTGGCTGACCCGGCGCTGCTCCAGATGCAGCCCGAGGAGACTCTCCAGCCACTGATCAACAGTATCCCAGAGGAGCTTGTGGGCCGGTTTGACCCCGTGTATGTCGAGCACTACAACCGCCATAACGCGGGCCGGCTTCATACCCACCAGATCCCCATCGAGGAGTTCCGCCAAGAACCCGGCAGTATGTGATCAACTTATGGGCAGACTCCAAGGGCCAGAGAGTCTTCTGCATCACGGAGAGAAAGCTCCCCGTTCAACGGAGGGAACAATCACCGTCCGCATCTTTGAAGATGCGCCCATCAAGCTGTCCCGGGCAGAAACAAGAAGCGTGGGCTATATCAACCTCACGTGCGCTGGTGTTCCGCAACCTCGACACGAACACCACAAGTGCAAGCGGATCGCCAATGATCTTCAGGGCGAGGTTGTTGTCTTCGATGTCGACTACCGTCTTGCCCCCGAGCATCCTTATCCAACCGCCATTGAGGATTGCTGGGCGGCTGTCCAGTGGGTAAGTTTGATCAAACGTATCCTCCTCAACTTGCACCCGGCATGCCCTGCCTGTCATAATAGGACTGACATATGGAAAACAGGTGAGAAGCAGAGCCATCGAGTTCCACTTGGACCTCTCCAGACTGGCTGTTGGAGGCGCATCTGCCGGCGGCCATCTTGCGGCTGTGATGGCACATCTGTGCAGAGATTATGGCTATCCCCTCAAGCTGCAGCTCCTCATTGTCCCGGTCGTTGACATGCACAGCTCCTTCACTGCAGACGGCAAGTTTGACCGTGAAATTACCCCATACGAGTCGTACCGCGAGATGGAGCACACTGTTCCCCTGCCAGCCGAGCGTATGGCATACTTCCACCGCCAATGGCTTGGGGTTCCTCGCCCTGAGCCATCTGAAGACGTAAGTTGCTTTCCATAGTTGTCTCTGCCATTCCTCTCTCCTCTCGAACTTCGGTATGCTGATAATAGGATATTTTTCAGGACTGGATGATCTCACCCATCTCTGCCCCCAACTTCGCCGACCTGGCTCCTGCCATCGTCTGGACCGCTGAGATGGACCCCCTTCGCGACGAAGGCGCTGCCTATGCGAAGAAGCTGGAGTCCGCAGGGGTCAAGGTCGAGCATATCTGTGTCCCCGGAGCGCCCCATACGTTCTCCCACCACGACGCCATCCTCGAGGGCGGCAAGCTCTTCAAGAAGCAGTCCATCGCTGCCCTGGCCAACGCTCTCCGTGACACCGGCCTCTGAATCTCCTAGACTCGACTGTAACGATCAATCTTCAATCTTCAATCTTCAGAGCTCCCCCGTCAAAATCTGCTCCTTAGGTAGCTTGCCCCTTGTTTCGACGGACCGGAAAAACTCGGGATCTTCCTTATTCCCGGCATAGCCATCCATGGATAGAAAAAAAAGAATTAAACCGACAGCTTCCTCTTATTTTTTCGAGCTCTTTTTTCCTCTTCATCCCAAAACTTCTGGACTGCATCTCAGCTTCTTGTGTACTTGTATTCTTCCCCCCCCCCAAATTGGCATTGGCCGTGTACCATTACAGCTGCCTGCATCCTGCGTTCTGTTCTGTACCATATCAATTCATCATCTTTCTTCATACTTTACTTTCCTTTTTAGCTCCCGGTAGAATGCTTAATTCCACGGCCCTTCGAGCCCTCGGGCGCTCTGCCTCCAAATCCGCAGCTCGATCGCTCGCTTCTCCTCATACACTCCACCTGCGGAACTCTTGCTGCCGCTCTATAAGTAGTGCCCTACGGCCGTCGCCTGTCTCGAATAAGTGCCAGCTGGTTTCTGTCAGAGGATTTGCCTCGACTGCAAGAATGATGGTAACGGTCTTCGTTTTCCGCTGTTCTCGGTGTTTGTTGCTGTTGCGCTGCATGGAGGTGATTATACTGACCCGCCCGCTGGTGTTATATAGACTGCCCCTCGTACGGAAACCGATGCCTTTGGCGAGATCCAGGTAGGTCGGCCGTTTCTACAGGGTCTATAGCAATGAACCAGCTGGCCTAATACGTTTTATGTCAGGTTCCTGGAGACAAGTACTGGGGAGCCCAGACTCAAAGGTGCGCAGACAGAGGCTCTTCCTGGAGCTGATACAAGAGACTGGACTGAGAATGCTGATACAGGCTCCAGATCCCTTGGGAACTTTGATATCGGGCAGCCCCAGGACCGCATGCCTACTCCAATTGTGCGTGCCCTTGGTATCCTCAAGGGTGCTGCTGCAACCGTCAACATGAAGTTCGGACTCGGTATTTCTCCCTCCCTCCCTTCCTCTCTCTATGCATACATGTTTGGCTGGCGGACAGCATAATATAAAGGGTTTGGACTGACTGGGATGATATATACTTGAAGACCCTACCATTGGCAAGGCGATCCAGCAGGCCGCCGCTGAGGTTGCCGACCTCAAGCTGGTTGACCATTTCCCTCTCGTTGTCTGGCAGACCGGCTCTGGCACCCAGTCCAACATGAATGCCAACGAGGTCATCTCCAACCGTGCAATTGAGATCTTGGGCGGAACCATGGGCAGCAAGAAGCCTGTCCACCCCAACGACCATGTCAACATGTCCGCCTCGTCCAACGATACCTTCCCTACCGTTATGCACATTGCCGCTGTTCTGGAGATCGAGGACACTCTTCTCCCGGCCCTGACCAGCTTGAAGGATGCCCTGCAGAAGAAGGTAGACCAGTTCAACGACATCATCAAGATCGGCCGAACCCATTTGCAGGACGCCACTCCTCTCACCCTCGGCCAGGAGTTCTCCGGCTACGTATCCCAGCTCGAGCGCAATATCACTCGCGTTGAGAACTCCTTGCCAGACCTCCGATTGCTGGCTCAGGGAGGTACCGCTGTCGGAACCGGCATCAACACCTTCAAGGGCTTCGACGAGGCCATTGCCGATGAAGTCAGCAAGATGACCGGCAAGCAATTCAAGACCTCACCAAACAAGTTTGAAGTCCTTGCCGCTCACGATGCTGTCGTCGAGGCTTCCGGAGCTCTCAACACCCTCGCTGCCTCTCTCTTCAAGATTGCCCAGGACATCCGTTTCCTCGGTTCCGGCCCTCGCTGCGGTCTTGGTGAGCTCCAGCTCCCCGAGAACGAGCCCGGTTCCTCTATCATGCCTGGAAAGGTCAACCCTACCCAGTGCGAATCTCTCACCATGATCTGCGCCCAGGTTATGGGCAACCATGTTGCCACCACCGTTTCTGGAATGAACGGTAACTTTGAGCTCAATGTCTTCAAGCCAGTCATGATCCGCAACTTGCTTCACAGCGTCCGCATCTTGAGTGACGGAATGAAGTCGTTTGAGAAGAACCTTGTCGTTGGCCTCGAGGCTGACCGTAAGAGAATCGAATCCATTCTCCACGAGAGGTATGCCTCGTCTCTATTCCTTTCTTTCTATTTGCTGTATTTGAGTGTACATACTAACGTGGACCCATCTAGTCTTATGCTTGTCACTTGCCTCAACCCCGTTATTGGATACGACATGGCCTCCAAGGTTGCAAAGAATGCGCACAAGAAGGGCCTCACCCTCAAGCAGAGTGCCATGGAGCTCAAGGCTCTTAGCGAGGAGGATTTCGACAAGCACGTTCGTCCAGAGTTGATGATAAGCCCAAAGGAGCGCAAGTAGATGCCTCCCAGTAGCTTCGTTTCCTGAATAAAATATACCGATGTAAATATCAATGTTAGACGCGGTACAAATTCCCAGCATACGCCCTGTTAAGTTATAGAAATGAGTATCACCGTTCAATTTCATCCCCCTGCTGAAAATAAGCGAGAATATCTCTTACCCTTGTTTTCTATGCTTAGTTTCAATAATCAATAGTAAAGCCGAAAGAAAGCTTTCTACAAACTGCTCTCCCCCGTGGACAACCTGATATATTCTTGTCTGTGGTGAGGCGGATTCTAGGCCTTCGTTGCTTTCGATACTGTTTCACTGCAGATACTGTGTATGACCAGCTCTGTATCATCCCAACAAGGCTGCATCTTCTAGATATACTAGGGGCATGCTTTTCTCCTTGGCCACAACAGTAGTCTCCTGCACTTCGTATCCAGAAACAGTAGTCTCTACGAGAAGTGTCTTTACGACCTCAGCCTCCACTGAGCATGTCACCAGTCATAAATCTATAAATCTCGCTCATATCCCGCTCTATGGCTTGATATACACATCCCAACCCGTCCATTGCTCTCATTACAACATTAAATAACCACTATCATGCGTTTTCTTCCAATTTTAATGGCCATTGGGTCAGCACTCGGTGCAGTCCTTGTAGACTTCCAGTCTGCTCGGGGAGATGATCCATCGGTGCTCGGCTTGCGGAATCTCGAAACCAAACGGGGGACAATGATCCCCGATAACATTCCAGACCTATTCATCAAGAAAGGAAAGGACCCCAATGGTGCTCCTGTGGCTCATTTTCACAAGAAGCAGGGCATGCTACGAGCCGAGTACCACTCCCTTAACAAAGAAACAAAAAAAGACAAGACCTATGCCATTCGCTATGAGTTCTCCTTGGGGGCGATTGAGCAAAGCCTGAGCATCTGGCAATTGTAAGTTTATGCAAACTGCACGTTTCCCTCACTGAACCTAGAGCTAATTTATGGCATAAAGTAAGGAATACCTCACAGATAATGTGGAAGATGGCGGCGCCAATGTCCCTCTGGCCCTGAAGTTTTCTCGCAGCAACCTCCAGCTCCAGTATCAGCCTAAATGGGACGCACCACGGCAGATTCTATGGCAAACTGCACCTAAACTCAACACCAAATACCGTGCAGACTTCCTGATCAATACTGGTACCCCTGGCTGGGTTGAGTTTTTATGGGATGGTCAGGTTCAAAAACTTGGTCCTCAGAGGGAAGCTCGGTTTGCCGCAACCACGTTCCCTGGTCGATCGGATCCAAAGTTTGGCGCATACCTGGCGGACAATGTTGATATCGACTTTTATGTCTATAGAGTCCTTATTCAAGAGAAGTAGAAAGCAGTATGCCCTTGTTTTAGCATAGGATATCACGGCATCGAACGTTCGAGGGTGTATATAGGCTTGTCAGGTCGACTTAGTCGCCGCTTAGTTTTATAGATTAATTGGCGCCAGAGTCACATGACGTCATTGGTGAGGTCCGTTCCTGGTGGTGACTAAGCTGCGTCTATTTGAGACATGGAGCGAGCTACGTTGCCGCTCCTTTTTCCACCTCTCCCTCGATCGAACTTCTTTCGATTCCTCTCTTTGGATAAGCAAGAGTCTTTGTCTTCTCCTAGTTGAACTGCCTGTTCTCTATCGCGAAGGGTGTTGTTGCTGTTTCATACCGACGGCGTCAAGTTGAAAACTTCTCCCCGCTTCCTCACCCCTGAATCCTCCACTTCCTCCATCTAGGAGAAGCCCCAGTTAGGCGTTAAATTCGACAGTATTATCCTCTCTTTACATACCATCCGCCCTTGTATCCAACAGCCTTTCTCTCCCATGGCCATTGAAACTTCGTCTACCACTGTCCCTGTGGCCGTTACAAACAACTGTATCGATACCAAGATGCTTGCCATTCATACCAAGGAGGTGGAACCGGCGGTGACCGAGGCCACTAAGCCTAACAGCGAGGAGGAAAAAACTGAAGAAGGCCTCTTTTCAGCTTCCTATATATCTCCCGAGGTTGTCTCCTTGCTTCCTGAGAACTATACTCTCCGCCCACTTCGCCGCTCAGACTACCAGAACGGCTTCCTCGATGTCCTCAGCGTTCTCACCAAGGTTGGAGAGTTCACCCCTGAGCTCTGGAACGAACGATATGACTGGATGGCTAAGCGCAATGATGAATATTATATCCTTGTTATCTGCGATGGGACCGGTCGAGTTGTTGGCACTGGCAGTTTGATCGTTGAGAGGAAATTTATCCATGCCGCTGGCTTGGTGGGACACATTGAAGATATTGCCATTGAGAGCGGCCAGCAAGGGAAGAAGCTGGGCTTGCGCATGATCCATGCTTTGGATTATGTTGCTAAGGAAGTTGGCTGTTACAAGGTAAGATTGTCCCTTTTTATCTACCGCCCAAAAAAAAAAAAAAAAGGGCACAGGCACTAATTCGTACCTCTTCTTAGTCTATCCTGGATTGCTCCGAAGCCAACGAGGGCTTTTATCTAAAATGTGGCTTTAAACGTGCTGGATTGGAGATGGCTCATTACTACTGATTCAATTTCGTAGTATTGGATTCCTATTTGCGCGAATTTTCTTAAAAGTTCCACATAGATCATAGATGGTCAGGGGATTTGGTTTGCTGGAAAGTCATGTCCTGTTATAAACACAGTGTACGGGGAGCCGATGTGAAGCACTCGTATGAAGAGCAATCGCGGGTACATTATCCAAAGTGGATGAAGGTATCATAGTAGGTGATACATCCGTCTATTGTCCAACTGGGTTCTGCTGTTTTCTTGCGGGTTTGATGGTCTTTTGAAATTTATATATATAATAGTTTCCACCCGCCGGTTTAGTTGGGCGCATAGCTTTCTAATGATGACGACAATTAATAGACAGAGCCGTGGATACAATAGTCTTACAAGCCAAGGCACAACTATGGATGATGGCCACTAAGGCTAAAACTGCGGGATCTGGGTACATTTGAATCAACCATAAACATAATTTTCTACTTTCCACACTCACGGAGCTGCTCCGTCTCAACAAGACCAGCGGAGCGTAAGTCGTGTAGGCCCATTCTCAGTGGAAGCTCATGAAGAAAACCTACCAGCCACATACAACCAATATTACAAGTATAACGGATCAAACAGTCCGGGACTCTTGATCTACTCATCATCCATACTATAAAGAACAGCATGCCATAAAATCGAGATGAATAACCTTGATATTAATGGGGATGTAATTAAAAATTTCTTAGATTCATTCCCATACCAATTATTCATTCATCAAGCGCCCTTTTTCAGCTGTGATTTCTATTTTGTTCCCCTAATAAAGCTCACAATAGATAAATACCATGTTCAACCGCTCCGCTCCATGTCTGGTTGCGATATCCATAGACTTTCCATCCTCATTCTCCGAGTGCATGGTTCATAACCGCTTAGGAAAAGAGAAATTTGTGGGGTTTCCCACCATTTCGAATGATTTGGGGATTTTACAGAAAACGAAGCTGACGAAACGAGGCGTGAAGAGCAAAAAGAAAGGTCCACATGTTATATTGCTTATGCAGCACCTGGGTTGGGATTCATCTGCAGCAGCAGTGTCAGTTTACTGTCGTGCTCGAGAAAACCATCATTTCGAGATGTATAGAATAAGCCCACCTTTCGCTTTCCACCGGTCATTGTGACGTTGACGAATCGTCGGGTGTATTGGAGACGCTTCTTAGCACGACCCTTTGGGGTCTTCTTCTTCTCTTGTGGCTCAACCTATTCCTCCCAAAAATGAGTCAGTCTTCTTGCCCTTCTTTGTTGTCGTGTCGATATGGCCCCGGGTAACCGTATAAACAAATCTAATCTCCTCCCTCCATATTTCTATGGGCTGCAACTATCATTCCGGACCCTCGTTCTCTTGCGGTATGCGCGGCCGAAACTGGAAGTCTGAGCTGGTAAAACTGACCTTTGGAGTCTGAGACTTGACTTTACCCGCACGAGCGAGCGAGCCGTGGACTTTACCCATGATGTGCGATCGGTTCGTAAATCGTAGAGATGCAACTGTTTCAAGTGACAAAAATTTCCATAGGTTAGTCAGGTCGGCCTTTCGAAAGTCGGAGTATAAGCGGGTTTGGACTGCGTTAACACACGGAAAAGTGCGCCACGAGCAACACCATTCAAACCGAGTCCATCAAGAGCGCTAGGAGTGTAACTAACCGTGTGTTTTGGATGCGTTGACGACTTGGTCTTTTGATGCCGATGGTCTCGCTGGTGGTCGTTTTGGTGATGGACGAAGTTCTTTGGAGGAAGCGAACGCCAAGACAGAATTTTCCCTCTTAGGGTTGTAGCCCTAACTTCCTTTTACGGGTGTCATCGGAGCCGTTCTTTCGATAAGACAACCTAGTTGGGTGAATAAGACGGCGGAGGATGATACAGATATGAATACAAAGACACATTTACATAGGTTCCTAAATTACGAATATGGCATACATTGTGGTAAATTAGAGTGGGTTACATGTAAGAAGAATCTCATTTGAAGCTATCATCAAACTCGCTGGGGGCTTGAACAGCAAGATATTAATTGAGATAGTTGAGAGTGTTGTCAAGAATAAGCATGGTATGACTGAAACCGCTGCTGGAATAGGCAAAAGAGAAAGATTCGTTTTACCAGGCCTATCCATCAATAGGTGGTAACAGTTCTCATGGAGGAACGCTCTCATTATGAAGGATGGTTTTTCTGTAACCCCTTTTTAACAAAGCATGCCAGGCCCAAACACCCATCGTAATACCACACCGCCCGTAAATCCATCGTTCACTTTTCATTTATCAAGATCTAACGAGACTTAGCAGCAACTTTGGGAGCGGATCCCTTAGCACCCTGCTTGCTCTGGATCCGGCCACCTTGTCCTCGTGCAGCTGTCTGGGCGGCTTTGGCCTTTTCGGCTCTCTTCTTGCTTTCAGCGGCAGACTTCTTCTCCTTAGCCTCCTTCACGGCGGCCTGGCGGGCAGCAGCACGGGCTTCGGGTCGCATGGTTCGGCGTTCCTTGATGACATCGAGGGAGGCGCCGACAATAGCACGCTGGTGCTTCACAACACGACGAGTACGCTTCTTGGCAACTTCCTATAAGACCAAACGAAAATATCCCATGGTCAGCCTCGATGTGCAATATAGCATGCAAAACACATTGCAACTGCTCATTTCTTCGCTTCATAACCATCCAGCCAGTACCCTAGTACATCCCAAACCAGAGAGCCCCCAGGAAACCAAGCACAAATTTGTCGAAAGTAAAAATATCGCAAAGAATCACTCACTTCAGAAAGTCCCTTCTTGTGTTGTCTGCGGTAAAGGATGGTCCAGGCTATCCGACGTGGGTTCTTGCGCTGGAGGAAGAGAGATTCGCTTTTGCCATTTTGGAATCGGAAGATCTTGCTGTCGCCTCGGACGTACAGCTTACCCTGTTAAACCAAGAAAGGGCCTCATTAGTATAAGCTCATCAAATATGGACGTCAAAAGGCTCCTCTTCGGCCTCGGTTCGATGGTGTTCCGGAGAGCTGGGTGAGCGACGTCGAAAACGTACCTTTCCGGGGTAGATCTTCTGACCACTGAAGGAATCGTCGTAGGTACGCATCTTGAGTTGTGGTGATGCGCAGCCGGCGTGCACGAGGTTGAAATGTTGACGTCGTTGTGAATTAACTCGTTTGCGACCCAAGGTCAAACTTGGTAATGGTTTGGTGTGAGGTTTACTCGCTAATTGTGTATCACGTGACTCATAAGCCCTTAAACTCTCCCAAGCCCGACAATTTTACAAGAATGTCAAATTGCGCGTCTCTAGACGCCAGAACAACAATTGTTGGGTGTACCGAGGATTTGATTGATAGTAGAAGGCTCCTTCACGACTCTATTCAGGCTTATATCGTGAGACTGAATTCAGTGGTTTCTGAACGTGCAGCTGAAATCGGCGGGACTTGCACCACCATACCGTTATTGCGCCGCTCACCCATGCATGATTACTTCGATAGCACTATGACTGTAGATGCTTCAGGCAGCAGCGGCCTGCCTGTCTGGTTGGTAGTATTTGTTAAGTTTCCTCAAGTCTATGAAGAAGTATGATTGAATGGGGTTAATCTTTATATTCAATAATTGCTGGCTGACGCTGGATGATCTAACGTGTTTGCAAACGAGTAATTTAAACCATGGCATGTGTTCTTGTCCACTCCCTTGCTGTCTGAATGGCCGCGGGTTCATCTTCCTTCCATCGCTGTGCAACATCGTTGGCCAGAGGATCATCTGGGTTCGGCGCGCCGAGCAGTGCTTGGATGGACAGCAAAATTGTCCGGATTTGCAACGCCGGAGACCAATTATCTAGAATGTTATACCACGTTAGGATCTGCCATTCGCTATGAGAACTGCATCATGGTGGGCGTCATCTCACTTTTTAACACATCAAGGCAGATTCTACCTAATCTATCAATATTGGGATGGTAAATCTTGGTGAGGAAACGGATCTTTGGAGGTGTCATTGGGTAATCTTCTGGCAAAAATAGCTCGAGTTTGAAAATCCCTCCTGTGTTGTAACAATCAGTTCTCTGGTTCAACTAACACAATGGTGGGAAGTCTGGGTGATGTTATGCTGACCTTCGTAGGGAGACTGTGTTGGACCGTGGATTCGGACGTCGAAATACCGAAGGTTATCTTCGTGAGGAACTGCATTAATCCCGGGAACACTATACAAGTCAACATGGTTGGTTAGTAAATATATAAAATACTATTAACTAATTCATTGATTATTTTCTTGTCATAATACTTACGGCTCTGCCATCAACCGCTCCGTCTCCTTTACTATCCGCTTTGGTAGCCCCGCCATGGTTTGTTTGCAACTGGCACTAGTGGGCTCTGGAAGAAATTATCAAGGGACGGTAGTGTACCGAGCGTTTGAATTAATGGCGCGGATGCCTGTTACTCCTTTTACGGTATATGAGCGGATGGCTGTTGATTTGTTGTATTTTCGGGCTGCCTTCCCTGTCAAAAATTCGCTCCGCCACGCTGCAGAGTCCAGGGTGCGGGAAATAATTTTCGGTATCAAGGGGACGTCGGAGTAATTCTTTTATCCGCGGGCCTGCTTCACAAGAAAATGGGTCTCTCAGTCTTTCACTGCTGGTATTCAACTAACTGTTCGCCAGCTTCATCCCACCTTTTTCTTTTGGTAGACGTTGCTCCCCGCAGGTGCCAAGACCTCTCGTTGCAGGAGAAGCACGTGCCATGAGCTAAATCCAACCCACCACGACTTGCAGTTTGACTCCAAAGGTACTGATGCCTCCGAGCCCGTGTAGGACTGTATAGAAAGGGACACATTCCTAGGCCCTTGACAGCTCTGCTTTGGGTATTTAGGCCATTCCTTGCGGTTCTCGGAGACATTCAACGGGCGAGGATCCCGACCGAGGGTCCAACCGAGATATCCCCAGAATGCAAACGGAATCTCTAGACGCGCATATTGCGGCGGTGCAAGCTATTGTGAAAGCGTGGATTAGGACATCTCCTATATAGTCGATTGACCTTCGGTGCATGAGAGCTATAATTGCACTGGATATCGTCTCCTCGGCCTTGCTTTCACACGGAGCCCTTCTCTGAACTCGAAAAATGGCGGGCCAAATCGAGTCAGGACCGCTCGCTTCAGCATACGATAGCCCCACGTTCGGGGAGGACAGTTCATTCCATATTGATCAAGCAGTTGGGTCAATGTCAATATCGCCTTGCGGGAGAGACGTCGTTCTTGCATCGTGAGATAATTCTTGAAATTCGACCCTTCTTCACCTATCGCTAACGGAATGCTAGAAAGGAAGGCCTACATGTTATAGATCTCGATAATCCGTATTCCCCGCCCCGTTATCTTCCTCACCGAACAGCATGGGAAGTTGCCGATGTCCAGTGGTCTCCTTTTTCCGCTCGGGATTCCTGGGTGGCAAGCACATCAAACCAAAAAGCATTGGTCTGGAATTTGGCTATGCGGACTTCACAGAATTCTATAGAACATGTTCTACACGCACACTCGAGAGCAATAACGGATATAAATTTTTCAGCCCACCATCCTGATTTACTAGCTACTTGCGCTGTCGATAGTTTTGTCCACTGCTGGGACTTGAGAACGCCCGCCCGGCCTGTTGTTTCTTTTTCAGATTGGTTTACCGGGGCAACTCAAGTCAAATGGAACCGACAGGATCCTCATGTCATTGCTAGCTCCCACGATAAATCGCTTCACATATGGGACGATAGAAAAGGCGCATATCCCCTACGCACCTTTGAGGCACATGGGACGAAAATTTACGGCATTGATTGGAACAGGACTCGCCCCGAGGCGATTGTCACCTGTGCACTAGACAAAACAATAAAGTTCTGGAACTATTCAAAAGAAGGAAGCAAGCCGGAGAACGTTACCCATACACCATTTCCTGTATGGCGGACCAGACATACTCCGTTTGGATGGGGTGTTCTGGCGATGCCACAACGTGGAAACAGTGACCTTCATCTATATAGCTGTGTTTCAGCTGAGAATAACCGGAGTGAACGTGATGATTTGCCGTTGGTCCATAGCTTCTCCGGGCACAAGGGCCAGGTCAAGGAGTTTCTTTGGAGGCAGAGGGGAGGCATCTTAGATGGCATGGATCAGCGAGAATTTCAGCTTGTCTCATGGGGAACAGACAAGGAGCTACGTCTTCATCGTGTAGACCCAGAGATTTTAAAAGGTGTTGGCTACGAAAAGGGCAAACCATTCAACCCCCTACTCAACCTTACTCGAAAAGGGGCAGCCTACAAAACTTTTCATGATGAACACTCCTACGAGCATGGTGAAGTGGGTGAGGATTATGGTGAACGATCAGAATATCTTGCCGCCAACAATACCCTCAAAGGTATGAGTGGGGTAAGCATGCCATACTCGCGTGGATGGGGTCAAGTTCGATCCATTGGACAGTCAAGCAGTGTTCGTGGGCGCACAACCCTTAGGGCTGATATGAACCCAATTTCCTGGATGCGAGGAGTGAAAATCTCTGGATGGGAAGTGGAAACGCTGGGTGATGAAATAATCCATGTTGGTGAAAAATTCACCCGTGTAGCTTTTGAATCCGTCAATGTTGGGCAGCGGAAAGCGACCATTTCCATGCACGGGCCGTGGGGATCGGAGAACTCGAATGTTTTCCTTAAAATAGATATCAAGTTTCCCACAGGATACCCTCGAATGGAAGCACCTATTTTCAACGTCCAAAGAACAACTGCAGTAACAAGCCAACTAGTCAAAACTGTTACTACTGGAATGCAGGCAATTGCAGAGACGTATCTTTCAAGACAACGAGGCTGCCTTGAAGGAGTGATTCGATACTTACTTGGAGAACATACCGTTGAGGAAAGTGTAGCTCTGGCAAAGAATCAGCCAAGTGAACATCTTAAGTCTGCTGATATACTTGCTGGTAATGAGTCAAGTGATGAGGACGAAGACGTTGGCCAATTTCAGGACTCTGATCTTGCTCTAAGCTCTTCTGAGCTTCTTCGCCCTATCAATGCCAATGTCATGGTTCCAGTTGCTCGGGCATGCGGTGCTTTATGGGCCAACGATGGCCAGCTTGTCTGTTTCTTCCCAAAGAAGGAAGAAAAACCTCCATCCTTCCTAGACTCTATAAGCTTGAGGGCCATGGCTGGATCATCCCGCAATGACAAAGTATTTGAAGGATTTGGACGCCTTCAGACAGGCTCTCCGGTACCAAGGGCAACAGCCGAATCGGCAGTCAGCGGTGGCCTTGTCACTGAAGACGGTGGCTCGGAGTTTTCTGATGACTCTTCATACGATTCATCTAGCTCATCTGGATCCTCCGATCTATTAGGCTCACTCCCTCAGCAGTTCCAGGGGAATCACACCTGGAGACACGATAACATTGGATTTCACCTCGCACGCTCGATTGCAGGGAATTCACAGAGGTCTGTTGCTGGACCTAGCACTGCCAGATCATCGACCGACTCTTGTCAGAATTATGTCCACATATACCACTTTAATGACATACTACCTGCAAAACGAGAACTTGCTCAGCAGTACAAGATATTCGGGAATCGTGCGGAGATTTGCTCACATAATATGGTAGTTGCAGCAAATGCAGGGCTTTCGGATCTATCCTACGTCTGGGGGCTTCTGAATTTACTCTTGGATAATAAGCAGACTACCGATACTAAAGGTGTAAAGGATCGTTTACGGCACATATTTAACAATCCAGTGAGCAGCCTCCGACGAAAAGACAGCGGTGTCTGCTTCAGCAGCGAGAGACAAAAAACGTGGGGGAGCCATCCTCTGGGAGCCCAATGGTTTATCCCTGCTTTGTGAGCCATCCTGCAACGTCTTATCCTTACTGCTTAACTGCATTTTTTTTTTTTTTTTTTTTTTTTTTTTTTTTTTTTTTTTTTTTTTTTTTTTTTGTAGAGCCACGCCACGCTAATTTTATATAGGTTTGGACATTTCGAACAGCTTGGAGACGTACAAATGCTCGGGATGCTTTCATGCGTTTTGTACGAGACTGACATGAAGCAACTTCTTCCGGATGATCCGTCTAAGCCCCGAGTCTCGGAATTCTTGAATGATAAAAGCTTTTCTGACCAGCAATTCAGGGGGAAACATAATACCACACCGCTGGCGAGCAAAGACCTACCTAATATATCAGCATCCCACAGCTCTGGGTGCTCGTCTGCTGATCAGTGGCACGGAAATACCCCACCGCTGTATTCAACAGGAACAACGCCTCCCACCGGAGTTCGCGGGACAAGGTCCACTATGGAACGTAAACCCCGTTATAATACGTCCCTGGCTGGGTCTCCCGACCCGCCCTCTAATATGCGGATAAATACCAATTTTGGCAATACCTTGGCCTCCTCACTCTCACGATCTCTAACCTTCGGGCCATCTGCGTCATCTTCACCTCCCGCTGGTCTCATTAAGAAGCAACCTAGTCCAATAGGCAGTCTCACTACCCATGGACCTAGCATCTGGAGCTCTGTCGGTGGTCTCCGTAGCAAGGCAGCGTCCGCATTACCTAGTTATCTTACTCCCTCCGCAATTGGCACACCCCTAACATTCTCAGATTCAGAAGAGAGCGATAAACCAGTTTCACCAAGCGCGAACAAGTTCAGGAGGGGAATAAAGGTTGTCAAGAAACACCAAGCTGAATTTGACAACGATTGCAGGGCCGAGGTCCCTTTGCTTGATCCTGAACTCCAGTCACTTTATCAAGCCTACAGAGAGAACTATGCTCATCTTCTATTCATATGGAACATGCCTATACAAGGAAGTGAAGTTCTGAAAATGGCCTCCATTGTCGACAACGAGACAGAACGCTCTCTTTTATATAAGTTGAACAACAAATATACACGGACCAAGCATGTCAATAGGCGTCATAGCCTGGCAGTTAACCACCACCCTTCAACAGAAATTTTGGCCGAAGGACTTAACCTGCAACATCATTGTGCAACATGCGGGTCCGCATTACAGGTTTTTTCTCCAGCACAAAATCCACTGGGTGAAGCTATCGGGAGGAATAGCAGACGCAACGCACTTGTGAATGTTCAATGCCTTAACTGCAACTTGTCATTGCCAAGTTCGCAAAATATGTCGTGTGCAATATGTACTGAGGTGATTCAAGGCATGTTTAGTCCTTGCTTCGCCTGTGGCCATATGTGCTGCTTCAAATGCCATACTCAATGGTTTGCGCCGAATACTACGGCGGAAAGTACTGTAGAGAAGAGCGTTTCTATATTATGCCCCACTGGATGTGGGTGTAACTGTTCAGAACACTTGGTGATCAATATGCCTATACCCCCAACGCCTGCTTCGCCTGCAATATCCGCTGCGCCTCCACCAGCTCCGCCATTGCCAGAAGCTGCCCTGAGTCCCTCCAAGTCAAAGAGCAAACCCATATACCCAGGAGCAAGTGGTAACCGCAAAAATGCCAAAAAGTGGAGAAATAGCTTAAATCATACCACAGTAACAAACGACGCGATCCAATCCGATAAAAACCAGACTGGGGTCTCTTCAGGGATTCACAGCCGAGCTAGCCTCGATGAGCAACTCTCGGGAGGTAATACTCGAAAGCCAGCTGCTAATTCGGGTTCGATTAGTCGGGTTGCCGGCTGGATCGGCAAGAGCTCACTGGAAAGGATGGATACTGTGTGAAATCGTTCGAATTCAACTTTATTACGCCACTTTGATGTTCAGGTCTTCTATTTATACTGTATATCCACCTACTATGTACTTATAATTACTTGCTACTAATAATGTATCAGTTGTTCATTTTATGTCCATGATACCCTATATTAGTTACATTTCGTAGTCGCCTCGATATGACCGCCCGTGTAGATATGGTCGACCCTCTGGGTAGTGAAAAATGGTACCTGCCTAAGCAAATTTATGTAGCAAACAGCTGGCGGTAGACATATAACCTTGAATAGAATCACGGAAATAGAAAGGACGGCCGACGCCGTACTTAGTTGGCTGTTAAAGATTCCACTCCTTAGGTACAATCGTTCTGACGTCTGCTGCAGATTTAGAAGGCGACATCTAATACTTAATAATTCTGTTAATCACTTTCAGATGTTGAGTTTAGATTTCATGATTGGGAGTTGTGACACTCTTTGTGCATTACTGGAATATATGTCCGCTGACATTGGGACGTATACTAATTTGAAATGAGAGCGGAGAACCGGCTTACTCTAAAATTTCTCTCCCAGTGTCCTCAACTTCAGTGTTTTAGGGTACACAAATAATGCTTTGGCCTCCGAATAGACCTTCCCTTTATGATCCTTAATGACGGCTTCAACAACTGCCTTCCTTTCAGAACTCAGAAGGCGATCATATTTCGCCTCGATAATTATGTATTGGTCTCGTCCGAGGCGGGCTTTATAGGATATGTTGAGATTGGCAGTAACCCCTGTGCGCTCGGGTAGATTCTCGATGGCTAAACGGCCCATATTTTCGTCAAGAATTGTAGCGATTGTACCACCATGCACAACAGTAGGCCATCCATCAAGCCCGTTGCCAAGGTATAAGACAGATTTGAGAATGTTCTCTTTAGAATTGTAGAACACATGCTATCGAACATATATAGTTAGTTGCCATTAGTTGACAACAAATTATATTCCAATCCTATATTGTTGAACACACCTGGCATGACAACCCTCTGGACCCCCGAAGACACCCACTAGTGAGCCTCGCCTTCTTTTCTTCTTCAGTAAAGTTCCCATATGGTTCCCATTCCGTATAATCGGGATCTTCTCGTAATCTCTTCACAATCTCGAGCTGGTCAAAACGGGAATTCAAGGATGTTGTTATCTCTATATCTTCTGGGCTAGCGGGTTCTATAATTGGACCAGTAAATAGATTTATTTCACTTGACATATATCTCCTACCTAGGTAGCCAAATAGGAGTATGGAAAGTAAAATACGGAGTCGGCGAGGTGATTTATTCGGGCCGGGAGGAGGAACAGTGACCGTTGTTAGGCGGCGAGATTGGTATTTAGAGATTTGTCTGAGCGGCAAAATAGGGTTTAGGCGACGCGAGTATGCCTGGACTCCGGATTGTAGTCCATGGTGTATTAGCCTGTGACACATTGAAGAGTAATAGCGCCAGACAACCTCGTCCAGGACTCTCTTTAACATAGCTGCTGGAAGCGTCCAGGTCTTGAAGTTGAAGGGTGTCGCTTGCAGCGCTAGCCTACCAGCTATCCAACCAATTAAAAGTAACTAGTTAATTTAATCGCGCTAGTTAACTCGTTAAGTTTTGACCCTAGCGCGTCTAACTAATAGTCCATACAACGCCCCATGGTCTAGAAAGCTGGACAAGCAGGTATCAACAGAGCAACGGCCAGGAATATTGTAACCATGTCTGGGACTATAGACAACTCCATTGTAAGGTCATGAGAGATATTCCTTATTGCTAAACGATCTTATGCCAGCTTTACACGGACAATCTAAATGAGACCTTGGTCTTTGGCTAGTAGAAAGCAATAAAAATAGAGTATAAATTCCAGGGCCTACTACCTAAAAGGTTCCTCGGAGCAAAAATTCCTCACTCATTAAGAATATCAGCAGTGGGCAAGTCGATGGCCTTGTAAAGAAGGATCAGGGCAGAGTGTGATTCACCTAAACAGTGTTAGTCATGAAACTTACTCCAATAGTTAAAAACAAGGTATGCTACATACCACCTCCGGATAGTGTTTCAATATTCTCTGCAGGTACCTCGGAAACCTTTTCATCGTTGAACCACCACCAATTTCCATCTTCTTCACGTCTCTTGCCATCCACGACCTTGCCCTGCTTCTTTACATAGGCAGTGTAGTGGCCACTGTCAGCGCTAGCTCCCTGATGGGTGATAACACCCCGTAGTTCGTAAAGTCCACACTTATTTGTACTTTCATCCTTAGCAAGGTCTTCATTGATAAGAGAAAAGAGCTCTTGCTTAGCCTGTAAAAGGGTGGCTGCCTTTTCGGCTTCGTATTCAGCATCTGATTTGAACACTTCTGGCGCAGCATCCTTATCTTCGGGCTTGTCCCTGCTTTTATCGGTTGCTGACTCGGCCATTTTCTTCTTTTGAAGGGGTTCAGATGCACGATCTTCTTCTTTCTCTTCTTGTTCACGTTTATGAGCAATCTTTTGGCGTTTTCGTGCACGTTCCATGTCCTGTTCGTCCTTTCGGATCTCGCGGACTTTATCCCTGACTGGAATAAGCTGCTTCTTCAACTCGTCAGTGCAAAAGTCGACTACGTCGATTTCTTGCGGGAATGTGACTTTTCGCATAATTTTTGCCTTTTTTTGCGATTCCCGTTTCCAGAAGAAACGAACAAAGTGGACGGTGAGATATTTGGGGAGACGCGAGATTCGAGTTTTTTTGGTGTAGATAGCATCTCGGTCCAGGGTAGGTGAGTGCTTCTCAATTTTCTCTTCTAGACTAGCCATGATTCCATCGTGAAGATGGTTAATTTCTTTGTCGATATGGCAATTTAGCTTGAAGAAAACGTCAGAGCTTTCTACTGCCATCTCTCCGCCTTCTTTGGCAGCCTGCTCATCGCACTCTAAAACAGAGTTGATTGTCCCTGACATATACTTGTCAACAAAGGAAACGGCTTTCGAGTCTTTTCCATCGGAGGCATCCTTTATCATGAGATGTTGGCGAAGTTGTGAAATAATCTGGGACCAAGCTTCCTCTGCATCTTGCTGTGCATAGCCATTCCCATCCCTGCTTTGTTGTGCAAATTGCGGGAAGACAGTACGGAGGGAATCTAAGAACCTTATTGGAGGAAACCCCCGCTGAGTTTGTGACATCAGTTTGTACAGATCTCGAAGGGAGGCCGTGAGATCAGGCCAGCCTGAATTAAACGGGCTCGAGCTATTTTGTCCGGTACTTTTGTATTTCTGCAGCTCTTCCTGAAGTTCGGGGATGAGGCGCAGGGTCTGCAGTGTGGAGTTCAGGTAACATGTATTTCCCAAATTTGAAAGGCCAGCCGGTGTAGCGCCGTCGGCCTTTGCAACCTCAGCTTCAGTCATGTCCTCCAAGAATTTAATTGCTTCCTTCGGTTTCCTTAATGCTAGGTTGGACTCTCCGTTGGCTGGGGTACCCATCATCATGAATGTCTGGCCCGCTTTGGCATTGAGCGAAGATAGGAGGGTGTCATCTTTGAGCTGGCCTCCTTTGACTAATATTTTCTGTCGTTCGGGTTCAACGCCGGTTAAAGAGTATAGCTGGAATTTGAAAGTCTCGCCATTTGAGCTCGGGTCAAGCTCTACTTCGTAGCGTTTACCCTGATGTTTGACGACAACTAAGACGGTCATTAGCAAATCCTGGCAATGCTTGACTTCATCACATCAATAATCAAAGACGTCACAGCCTACCAGAAATAGGATCCATTCTTTCCACAGATAAATATCCTGGGAAAAAAATCTCTCGAAACAACTCGAGTAGATATGAGACTCTGGAGCTGCCTTTCTCCTGGCGCGGTGTACCCTGTCCCTCTCTTTTATGTCGTTGAACTAGAGGATGATATTTCTATGTGGGGCGAGGAGCGGTACAAAAATGCAAACAATGCAAACACCCACCAACCCGCAGCAACGTCAACCTTGGCCACCGAAATCGACCTCAAGGAGGAGAGATACACATCGACAAACAAAGATAGGACAAGACTGGACGGACCAAATACCAAGCAAGGGTGGTGCTCCTCAAGGTTGGACCCAATTGTGATTACGTTTTACAGCGCTGGAAATTCTGGTCAGAAGATCTTTTAGCTTCACATACAGATTTCTATCCAGTCAACAACCGTCAGCATGGTAAACAGGACCCCAATTTCATTGCATACACCTCGTAAATGGCTAACGTCACTTAGTCACAATCCTTACGACCATACCTCCAATGTGTTCGCTCGTCTCTGACCGCCGCCCTTGCGGTATCGAACTTTGCCTCCCAGACCTCAGAACGACATAACGTCCCGGAAATAGAAGCAGCTACTTCTCCAGAACTTCTTCTTAACCCGCTTACGGTTGCGCGCAATGAGAAAGAGAAAGTTCTTATAGAACCTAGCGTAAACAGCGTTAGAGTTAGCATCCGAATCAAGCAGGCAGATGAAATCGAGCATATCCTCGTACATAAATTCACCAGGTTCTTAACTCAGCGTGCAGAGGCATTTTTTATCCTCCGACGGAAGCCTGTTAAGGTATTTTAATATGTTGGCTTAGTATTATTAGATTCAACCACTAATTACTAACGTGGGTAGGGTTACGACATCTCATTTTTGATCACAAACTTCCACACAGAAGCTATGTTAAAACACAAGCTGGTTGACTTTATCATCGAATTCATGGAGGAGGTTGACAAGGAAATATCCGAGATGAGACTATTCGTGAGTCTGTTGCCGATTGAGATCCCTCTACATTTTCAATATTCCGGTTCATATACAGGCCAAGCTTCTAACATAAACTCCTTTAGTTAAACGCTCGCGCGCGATTTGTTGCTGAATCCTTTCTAACACCCGTATGCTTCCTCCGGTTACTGTCCATGTTAATTACATTTAACTAATCTCTATCTCAACAGTTCGACTAGTGGTATTTCCCCTATTTGTCATTAGCTTTAAGCCAACTGTTCGAACTACCTTGGAGACATCCCCATGTCATTTTTGTTCCGTGTGCTCTGACCTGTCTGATGGAAACTTGTTTATGACTCAATTATAAGGTGTTGTAAATAAGTTTGTAAATGACTCAAAGTTGAACTGAAGGGTCTAACAAATACCCACGCCTAAATACGGACAACTGTGGCCATACAGTCCTCGCCTATATATTTTCAAAATTATATCAGCTCTACCGGATTTGTCTTTTTCTGCAAATTGATTTTTATGACCGTTGCCATTTATATATACCCTCTTTCATGCCTGACGGCTTTTATACTATGCGGCTTGAATTTCCTAATTAGGAAACTTTGACCCCAACTCTCAAATTCAAAATAATATACCAGCCGTTACTCCTGAACTCACTGACCAATTTATGAATGTAAGAGTATAAAACTCTTCATTCTTATTTATACCGGGTAGCTCAGTCTACATGGGTCTTCCACATCATATCGCCTTCCCTAGGAGTGGCTTCCTGATCCCCTTGATATATTTTAACAACGTTTAGAATACAAGGCAGGAACCTCAATATCCCCTGTTAGATAGCATGGGATGCTATTTTCCTGGCCTCCCAAAATCTATTCAGGCCTTGCTCTTTATTCTATGGAGTATAACATGCAAGTGACAGACAAGTGCTCACTATCTCCAGTTTTATATAGCTTTCCACTCTTCCAATTATATGGCATCCCCTATTCCTTATATGTCACTTTGATACCTACAAACCCATCAATCCTTCTATCTATAGATACTTAATTTCTATATCATTCTTGTCTTTGCATGTGCTTATAGCACAGCCTATCATAGTTTCTCATGCTTCTTAGCTTTGGCAGCGTCCTCCATATATCTGCCCTAGCCCTATGTTGCACTGTCGACGCTGCGGCGACTAAGCATCCCACAATAACAGGTATAAAAGCCTCTTCTTCTCTTGTTTGTTGACATTCTTCTTTTCTTTCTGTTCATCTCCTTTCCCTTTCACCACCTTACCTTTAAGTACCTCCTTTTCTTTTATTAGAAAGTGGTATCAAGTTTGGTGTCAAGGCTGCCACCTAGGGCCCTTCAAAACCAACTGACAAGCCTGTTGCTCCCTTCCCTGCCTGCCTTAGTTGCTGCATTTTGCCCCAATCCTTCTGTTCAGTCTCTTTGTGATATCTTTACCCCGTCACCAACAAGGGCTTTTCGAAGTTGAGCTTCTGTATCAAGTCAAGACAAGATCCTCAGGGTATATGTTGATTGCCAAAATGGCTCCCTGCGTGGTCAAGGGGTATAGCTCTCAGCTTTCAAAAGGTTCGTCTGATAATTCAGTCCAAGGGAACGTTGATACCACCGCAAACGGCAAGGATGAATATCAGCCTGCGGAGACTAGTAGTGTCGTTGCAACGACAGCGTCGGTGGCCTCGCACCAGGATGCCCAGCAGATGCCGGAGCAAAGTGTCACCATTGCCGAAGTCGTCGAGCCCGAGGACGCCCCAGGAGATTCCACAGTCGACACACAAGTCTCTGGAAGCGAGAGCTCGCCAATTCCCGTCGAAAATTTTCCTTTGGCGCGCACTTCTCTCGCCTGTTTTTTCGGTCCTACACCTCCCTCCACACAAAAACAAAAATTCCAACCTCCTTCTCGTCTCTCTTCTTCCAGCCCCTTATCAACTTGCAGTCTTCCAGTTGCTCCACCCCCTTCACCATCATCAGTCTGTGGTCGCCAGTACGCTGCAGCAGCAGAATCTCTTTATCCTCAGCTATCTGTTCTACCAAATCCTCGACCCATTCTGCCCCAAATGTATCCTGGAAGCCAGTTTCAGGGGCAGTACCCCAATGGCAACGCCAACAGCAACAGCGTGTCTCGTGGGATGCCTCCGGCTATGGCAGCAATGCCTAGTACGGCTGCAGGTAATGTCCAATATCCTCAGCAAGGTAACTTTCAAAGATCCATCCGTCCTGTTCCACCCCCGAAATCCCGTCGTTATCTTCGGCCTACATGGAGAATTGCCTATGCTTTCCACCCCCAAGTACCTATTGTTTCTGCTCCTCAGCCTTTTACTTCTGCCTGTGCCTCTTCTGTGCCTGCTCCTGTTCCTAACGCGTCTCCCATGCCTATCGCGCCTGTTTCTTCCCCTCTTAAGCCAAAGAAAAGCGAGTACAAAGGCCCACTCATCGTTTCTTCATCTCCAGTGAGACCTCCAAGTCAGAACCAATCATCCCAGCCACCTTTTCAACAGCATGTTCAGCAGCCGTTTCAGCATTCTGTTCAGCAATCAGCTCAGCAACATCTTCCACAACATGTTCATTACCCCGTTCAGCGTTCAGCTCAGTATACAGCCCAGCAGCATGCCCAACATTCTGCTCATTGGCCCGTTCATCAGGCTGCTCAGCAGCAGAGACCATCCAACTCCCAGGCTGTTATGAACAACCCGGGACACGGATATGGCACTTACAATAACATGGCCACAAATGGCCACAATCCGAGGAACATTAACAATGTTGCTGTTGCTCATTATCATAATCCTCATTACCCACAAGCCCCAGTTTCAGGGCCATATCATAGTCCATTCCCAGGAAATAGATTCTCAAACACCCACGGCTTTCATAACATGAACAATACCCCTACAGCCTTACCCCAGGCTGCTCAGCCTTTTCCAATTGAAGATCCGTTTGAGATTGGCACAGGCCCCCAACCAGCCCCAGCCGGTGCTGTATTAAAGATCAGCAACGTAAGTCTTACTCGCGTTTCTACTAAAATCCATTGAATTCATTACACGTGATTCGTTTTTCTATATCTCCCTCTTGATTGATACCCCTATCATCAACGGATTTGGATTGATCACTCCCAACTATTTCTTGGTTCTCATATTCAGTAAACATTCTATTGATCTGAACTAATTCGTCTAAAAGATTCCCTACAACCTTTTGGCCCGCGAAGTTATGCATTTTCTTGGTCGTCGAGCCAATTTACTTCCAGAGAGCAGAGGCACTTCGATCCATGTTATCATGGAACGATCCACTGCTAAGACTATGGACTGCTATGTCGAGTTACTTACTCAAGCTGATGCAGAAGAGGCTCTCTCATGGGTTAATCGTAACTTGCCTGCTCACTCTCCACGTCTTGGTGACCGGCATGTTCATGTTGAAATGTCTTCTCAAGACGCATTGCTTCGTGAGATATTCCCCCGTGCAAAGTGTGTTCTTTGGAAGAATGGAATCCCAGAAATCCAGCCAAACACAGACCGATACTCTACTGGTTTCCAAGGTTTTTTGACCAATGAAGAGCTGTTTTGCATGGTTCATTATGCTGAAGCACCGAAGAGAGTGAGTCTTTACATGAGTACTGCTGCGTGTGGACTTCTGCTAATCACCTCTGTAGGCTCCGTTTGCCGAGAAGTGCCCGCAACGTCCCTACGAGTTTATGATCAGCACCCTTGACAAAGTATGCACTTTACTTCATTTTGTTAATCAAGGTCTTGCGCTAACCAGCTTAATTCTGCCTAGTTCCCCTGGGCTTCAAAGTCGCTCTACACTGTTGAGCACCGTAATGTTTTGTTTGATGCTACCAGACGCCAACTACAAGCATTGCTCCAGCAGGTTAATGCTAGACGAGTCATCCAACTGGATGAGCGTCTGTTAAGGGATCTCCTTAACGCAGGACTTCGATGTTCGACGTTCAATGAACGTCAGAAATATCTTCTCCGGGTGGCAGCCGGACAAGCACTGGGGCCCGTCCCCAGAACAGTGGTGTTCTGGCCCTTTGATGCCCTTACGCGCAGGGCCAATGCGCGAGAGGAGAGTGTGGAGGTACTATGATTTCTTCTCGAAACTACTCAATAACAAACGCTGACTTTTTATCCTCAGGAGTATGCCCGGTTAATCCGGGCAGCAGTCCTACGCCGAGTCCCCAACCTTGGGGAGCTCAACAACTCGTGGGACGCCATTCAACATGGCAACTCGCCCTTCGGGCCACTCATGTTGGAGTGGCGGGGCGAGGGAGCGCGGCGGAGCCTGCAAGCCGCCATAAACACTGAGATCGGGGTGATGAAGACCCTGGTCTCAGAGGGGCTTGCGGCTGTCAACACCGCCGCTTGATTTCCTTTGTTTTTCCTTTGTTTTTCCTTTGTCTATGCGTTGCTATCAGTTGGCTAGTAAGCAGTTAACTCCCTTTGGGATGCGCTCACTTGCTGGCATTATTGTATATTTCATTTGTTCAAGAATTGCGTTGCTGCCAGTTGGCTAGCAGTCGGAAAATCCTATCTGGGATGACTCCGACTTGCTGGCGTTATTGTATACCTTTCCTTTGTCTCTTACGTTGCTCCCAGTTGGCTAGCCGCCAGTCAATCCCGCAAGGGATGGCTAGCGGCTTGCATTATTGTAATTATGTATTTTATCTGTTAGAGTAGCCTGTCCAGGCGAATCGTTGTCGAATTTCCGTACCCCCAGTTGATTGTCCTAGCCTCTCATCCACTAAGACTTGGAGTAAGTCTTCATCAAGTCTTTATTGTATGCTAGACGTCCTCGATGCTAATTTTCTATCCAAATACTACTTTGCAAGAGGTGCACATCGATTGTAAGCATCATTTTCCTGGCAACATCAGAACTAAGTGTCGGTTTATTATTATTTTTTTTGGTAAAGGAAAAGGGGGGTTATTGATTATATGTCTAGAGTATTAACTCCAAATATCATGTCATCTTCAGTCACTGAAGTTAAATTTTCTAGCCTTTGTGCTTCTTTCGCGGCTTTGCTCCTTTCTAACCCTTCCGCTCTCTTTCTTGCTCTCCTAGCTATTGGGTCCTCCCATTGCATGGTAGGGTTACCGAGGCCCTGCCTACTAACTAAATGCAAGAGTTTCGCCCTAAATCTTTCCATGCGCTCCGTGTTAATTGCAAATCGTTCATTCGAAATTTGAACAAGCAACTGCATATACTCTTCGGCTACGAAACTACGAGCTGTAGCTTCAGGCAAACCATCGTTTTCAATATAGCCTATGATTGACTCAAGTCCTAGGCCAGAAGATCGTACAGCAACGATAGGGCATGCTTCCGGGTCCTCTAGACAGCGAAGACCCTGGAGTCCACTCTCTCTAAAGCCTGCATTACTGGCAGCAGCAAGGACAGGTTGGGCATGGCTTAGAGATGCAGCCATTATATGGAGAATCTGCACACAGTCAGTATATTGAAAAGACGGATAATAGACAAAATTTAATATTTATCGAGAGAAATGAAACGCGTAATCAAATAATAACTAACTCGGTGGAATATAAGATGCATACCATAGGCTCAAATTTGAATTTGACCAGTTGTATTTCGCCTTTTCTACTTGAGCTTATTGCGGTCCTCGACGGTTTCAGCCCGAATAGCTCATGTAGACTCTTGTCTGTACTCTCTCCATCGAATATCAGGGGATCATGGGAGACAAATTGCCATGTTCCGCTGCCTTTCCCCCCCTTAGGAACGAATTTATTCACATATTCTGTCCTTATACGCTTATCGTGACCGGGCTTATCTTCTGATGAGGCGTTTTCACGGCCGTCAAGAGCTCTCTCGCTGCCAGGGGCAGTGATATCAGCCTGGGCCTTGCCTCCCTTCCCTCGTTCGACGAACACACTGATGCGCCCAGCGCAGCTGCTCGTCGTTACAAGGCCCGGTAGCCGGTTGATGTCCCGTATAAGAGGTATAATTGCAACATCCACCGAGCCCTTGGGTGATAAATCTGTATAGTCCTCTTCAGGGACAGACAGGTCCCTTAGTATCTTCTCCTTTTTAGAGGTGAAACTGGAAGGTATGGCGGCCATCCCCGGACAGCTTTCTCTTTGAATATGAGCCAGACGGAGAATAGTCTTTTATCCTTTTAAACGGCCCCCTTGTTTGCCTTTTCCCTATTATCACCCGTCTTGCATGTAGCTGACGGATGCTTCCCTTGCCTCCAGTTAGCTAGTTAACTAGTGCATAACAGGGCACGATTTCTCCGTGAAGACTTTTTCTCAACCCTACAGTTGACTAGGGCAAGCTTCAGCAAGAATAATAACGTATATGCGCGAGCTTTGATATACGCTAAATCCTCCTCTGTTAATGGTTAGAGGGCGACGATATATTATTGACCGCTTGGGGATGGCCGAGGAAGAGAAATGCTCCATTCAGGTCCTTCACCACCTCGGTAACTAACTTAACATCCTTCCAGCCCGTCGAGGCGGGCACGACTAAACTTTAACTAACTAGCAACGACTCCAACTACAAGCCTCGATAACCCGCAGAGTGAGCATAGAAGCTATGCCATTGAGCGTCATTGACATCTACAATTAATTTCACGGGAATTTCTCGTCGCTGAGCCTCCAACGGCCGGGTGTCATGCCAGGACGATAACCACTTCATCGATAACTAGTTAGTTACCCGCTCACCAGCCATGCCTCGCCGTTCACTTCGAAATTCAGCGCCTACTGGGCAGCAAGCCAAACGACAGCCTGATACCTCGTCCTCCAGACAGAATACGGGTACAAAACGCCGCAGAACTACCCCCAAAGAGCTTCCGTCTAAGCCTAGAAGCTCCAAGCGTGCCTCATCTACGGCAAAAAAGAGCAAATACTTTGAACAAAACGCCTCGGAATCCGATTTTAGTGGCAGTGACTTGACTCCACTGGCATCAGAGTGCTCGAATCGAGCCTTGCTGGAAAAGGACAACGAGACAGAGGATTCATATTGCCCGAGTGCAGAAAGTTCTGCATCTGCAGGCGCTGAGGAGTCTGCGGAAGATAACGAAGACGAGGACGAGAATTTTGATAAGAAGAAAAGAGGAAACAAAAAGAAACAAGCAGTAGCGCATGTGAAGAGAAGAAAAAGTGGTGTGAAGGATCCCGTTGCTGAATCCCGAAAAGATAGCAAGGGAAACGAGCTCTGGAGAGAAGGTGTCAGGACTGGGCTGGAACCAGGAAAAGAAGTGTTTATCAAACTTCCGACTCCTAGAGACGATGGAGGGATACCCTATGAGGATGGCACCATACATCCAAATACCGTCCTCTTCCTTGCAGATCTTAGGGAAAACAATGACCGTGAGTGGTTGAAAAGTGAGTCCACGATCATCATTGGAGGCATACAATGCGGGATTGAATGCTTACATAGAATAATTGTATTTCTATGTATATGCTAATGCATGGATTGTAAAGATCATGATGTTGATTATAGGAAGTCCAAGAAGGACTGGGATTCATTCGTCGAAGCACTGAATGAGAAGCTAGCTGAGAAAGACGAGACAATCCCTGAGTTGCCAGCAAAAGACTTGGTAAGCATATGCCATAAGTAAGTACCAATATGCTCTAGAATATATGCTGATCACAGTACATCTTTGTAGGTCTTTAGAATATATAGAGACGTTAGGTTTAGCCGTGACCAAACACCTTACAAGGTAAGAGTTTCCATGCTTTAAGTCGAAGTAGGAGAGCTTTGGTCGAAAGGTTATTATTCTCCCTATATTTGATTACGCGGTTTGCTAACTATACCGAAGCCACATTTCTCAGCGGCATGGTACGTCCACTATTATCCTGCATATATTATATTACTTCCCTTATGAACAACCCTTGCAGGTCCCGTACTGGACGCAAAGGCCCGTACGCAGCATACTACCTCCACCTAGAACCTGGCAAGTGTTTCATAGGTGAGTGACTCTGAGTTACCCAGAATTCACCACAACCTAATTCACATTTGAATACCTGGCTCGGCCACCGGCATTATTTATTTCCATCCCTGTGACCAATTCATATCCCAAGCGATGGTTGTTCAGAAAACGCGTGGGCATAGGATAACGATAGATGGATGGTACAGAGGCTAATCAAACGTACAAGCACAGGGTCCGGTCTATGGATGCCGGAAGCTAGCAAACTCGCTCTTATTCGCCAGAATATTGATCGGAATTCGCAACGGCTCAAGGACATCTTGATGCATCCAGACGTCAGGGGAGAAATCCTCGGGGGTGTTCCTAATGATGAAAAGAAGGTTATTAAGGCCTTTGTCAATCAAAATAAGGAGAGTGCACTCAAAACTAGACCAAAGGTAGGTAGATTATGCTCTCGTCTGTTGATCAACCTCTTTCGTCCTGGCCTCAGCCACCTCCAACCTACAACCGCTGCCACTCCACAGTGTTGTCTTTCCAAAGGCCCTTTCATCTGCAGACCTCAGGAACAAAGAGAGAAGTCTCATAGTTATATATGCTCGGAGATATCTGTCGAGGGTCTCATCAAGGAATGGATGAGGGAGTGAGTAAGGGAGGTAGATGCCTGCCAACCAATTTGCAGCCACCGCTCAAGTCAGTCAACTTGATCACCAAACGAGCACAAACCACTAGACGTACCTTTCCAACTCTCGTCTATGGCCTAGCTCCCCGTAGACTCAACTCTGACGAGGCCAGCTCCAGCTCATAGTAAGTTGTTTTGCTACCAGACCAACCTAGAGCTGTTACCTTCCGCTGAGTTCCGGGACAAGTCCGACTCCAACTCGATGATACTTACTCCCTCATCGAAGTGGAAGTCACTCAGCCAGCCCATCGTCTAGCAAGGATAACAAATGCACTCCAGCGAATGGCCTCTATCAGTTCGCTCAGGCCCGATGGGTGTTTTCAAGCCTTCCAGCTCGTCTTCCTGGCGGGGATGCCACCAGGGTTTAGGGCTTTGAAGGCCCGTTACGGGCGGACCAGGCGCAGCCCTTGATTTGCACTGACTGCCATTTCTCCCCCATTCTCAGTTGCCACGGTGGATGGAACCCGCTCCCCCATTTCGAACCTTCTCTCTCGCTTTTGCAGCCACTTGGGTTCCGCTTTCTGGGACTTTGGGTCAGAGATAGTGTTCGATCCAGGTTTCAAAGAGGGCCTAACGAAATTGAACCCTACCTTTTCTTTCTCCTTTTCTTACAACGGCTCCCATGCCAGACCCCTCCCACTCCAATTTTTTTTTTTCTTTAACCGTTGATATATACTTAGTTACATGATGGCTAACTCTATTATCTAATAGGGCTACGATGCGGACAATGAGAATATTGAGCTTCTCCGCCTTCGAAGCTTCACGTTGAGCAAGAAACTTGCTGACCAGGATCTCCGTGGACCAGAAGCCATGGGCCGAGTGGCTCATATCGTTGGGATCATGGTTCAATTTGTAAGTAAAAATCAGTCTTTCCGGCAGCATGTGCAGCAGAGTTGTCTCCTTGCACATCCCGTCCGTTTTGCCCCCCTCCCTTCCTCCCTTCCTCCTCGGACGGCCTCTCCCATCCCGCAGAGCCAATAATGCCAAATCCAGAGTCAAAGCCAAAGCCAAAGTCAAAGCAATAGTCAGATTCAAGCCAGATTCAGACTCAGAGCCGGAGCCACAGCCAGAGCCCCATCTCTTCTCCATCCCCCATTCCTTTCCCAGGCCATCCATCCCTGCCATCCCTCACCCCGAACTGACGCCAGACTCATAAACGACTCAACGGCAGCTTTCCCATGGCTTCCCTCGTCTATATTTCCAAGGTCCCAAAGCCTTCATCTGTCCCACATGATCCACATACACTGTAACTTCTCATTCGCGGCTTAACCGTCGCATGCAGGTATGATATGCATGCACAATGTGCTGAATTCGGGCAGAGGCACCCAACTCACGTAAAACGAGCAGTGGAGCGAGTCGGGCATCGAACTCTCTTGTCCCCCTCTATCCCCTCTCCTCCAATCCCTACCCTTTCATGCTCTGTTCTCGTCCTCCTGGTTCCTTCTCACTCCGTCTCCTACTCAATTCTTGCTGGCTTCTGTCTTTCTTCCTTTGGATTTTGGTCTATATTCTCCACCCCCTTGCAATTCAATCCCTGCCAGCCACTAAACCATGAGAGAGGAAAAGGATTTACCGTGTCCTAGCGAAGTGTACGGAAGTCAATCTCGCTTAGCGGCCAGGCTGTCTGTTAGCTCAGCATATCAGCAGAGCAATAGCAACATGGGATAGTGGGCAAAAGGGAAAGCCTATGATGGGCCGAAGGACCATCTTGTTGAACACTGCTATGCGTCTCAATGTGTTCAATGAAGATTCGCTGGGGAAACAGGCTGTCCTGGTCGTTTCGTGCCTCTGCTTAGCCATGCAAAATAGATATTTTCCATATATCTATCACGCTGTCCAGGGATAAAAAAAAAATAAGGTTTATCCGTGATTTTATGTTACTGACATGTTTCATTCCGACAGGTCACATACCTGAACAGCATTGTCATGCCGGATCCCGAGGACGAAGACGGGGATGAATCTGGGGATGTGTAGGATGAAGACGACGGATGAAGGGAAGACGATACTGTGCATGTATGTTATGCACGCTCGAGCCTGGTCATTTTTCAAATCAAGGAAAGAGATCAATCAGGCCTGTCGATGAAGTATACATTGGATGTCTATTTTGTCTCTGGTTTATATATAGGCATAGTATATGCATGCACGGTTACCCGATTGATACTTGCATTCCATCGAAACAGTGGGTTGAGGTATGTAGATGTTTATGGGATGGGGACTGCGGGGGAAGGCGCACTGGATTAGATTGAATCGAAAGACAGTCACCGTTAAACATGGTTAAGAACCGTGACTGCCTCGTCATGCTAGGCAGATGGACTATATAACTCTGAACTATAGACCACGACCACTGTCTTGTTTCTGTGCGGGGAGAGTGGGAGAACGAGAAAGCCCATGACTATCTCGAGCAGTCGAAGCAAGCATGCAAGCAAGAGTTGGGTACGTACTTCGTATCAACCCAAGGCTTGGGGGCGAAAAGGAAAACCGAAAAAAGATGGCAACTCGGCGGTAAGTGTATGAATGTGTGTGCGCGTCCGTCTGCCTTCGAGGGACACGAACAACGCAGTCCTGCATCTCGAGCATACTTTTATGCAAAGGAGAAAAGGAAAAAGAAGGCGATTAGGTGTCAGTAGGCGTTTGAAAACAACTTGTTGCGTCGAAGATCCGTACAACAGGCATATAAACCTGGCTTCTACCGGGTATGTACATGTAGATATGTATGCCGCTCCGTTCTTGCAGTTGAACCTTTGAAACGAACAGGTAGGTTGCTGTGAAGTAAGAGACGTGGTGATATCCCTGAGGTTCTGATATACCATGCACTGTAGTTGTCTCCTGCTTGAAGCTGGCTGTTCGTTGTGCATGTGCGGAGTAGAAGGCGGGAGAAGAGATACGACGTCCGCAGTCCAGATGGTGGACGACTATTTTTGCTGCATGAGTAATGTATAGATATGAAAGGCTGGTCCGCCAATCCCATCCGTCGGCCATTACTTTTCCACGGGATGCTCCGCGGCCCTCCCGCCGCTGCATTGCTCGGTCAATGAGTTGTATGTAAGTTGATGCAGCAACAACAAGGACCAGGCAGGCCAGCGATGATGGGGTGTTTGCTTTGCTGTGCAACAGGAGGGTGTGCTGACGGCTATCAACCAACTCCCGCAAGCCTCGAAGTTGTCTGTCCTATTCCAGCAGTCAGCGAGAAAACCCAGCACTCCCCAGCCATCCATCACCATTCAACCCTCACCCTCACCCTCACCCTCACCACTTTAAGTATATGCCGCGACCTGATATATGAGGCCGCTCATGCTGCCAAACCGCCCAACTTCTGGCCCTCCCATCCTTCTCCGTCGCCGCTTTGCGGTGATTGGCCACAGCCAAACCACATGACCAGAGACGTATGCGGGCCTAGCGGGAAGACAGGGATGGGCCTGCAAGCACCGAAAGCAAAAAGAAGACGCTAAGGGGGCCGGATGGACAAGTTAAAGACGAGAGAAGCCACTCAGGACGAGCTAGAGGCAAGGGGGTTGGGCGGCCACAAGAGACAGACGAGAGGGAAGGGCAAACGTCTGGTGTAACAAGCCTGCGACTAGTTGTTTGGCCATGGTTCTTTCTTTCCTTTTTTTCTCCGTCTCCCATTCTCCCTCTCCGTCTCTTTTCTTTGCTTCCCGCCGTCTTCTGCTTCTCTCGTGGCTCGCACTATTGGGTGCCATCCCAGATCAATCGTCCATCAATAATAGGCATGTTCCTTGAGTGGATAATTCGATGTCCGTCGCCGTTCTGTATGACGAGAACAAGAAAATCAGGCTTATGTAATTTGTATGTAACCGCGTATGTAAGTATGTTAATAATTATGGTACGTAATATAATACGCACAGTACGGTAATACAAATACCTTCGGCCTCTCCCGTACAACCATCCACGGGAAGCCCCCTGAGCCATGGCTTGCGAGTACCTGGCTACCTTTATTATGCAGCATCGATGTCGACATCGGGTTCAGGTTCAGGCTCTTGTTCAGGCTCTGGTTCAGGTTCAGGTGCAGAAGCAGAACTGGGCCATCGCGCGCCATGGGTGTTCGGCACTGGCACGGCTGGAACTCACCCATGACTCCTGCTTCTCTGCCTCTGCTCTCTTGCGTCTTTCTGCTCATGGGCGAACAGGGGTTTAAGTCCGTCTTGTTATCGTATGATAACTGCCCATGGTACTCCGTACTGTACCATTTATTCTCGCACTACGTGGAGATCAACCGCCATAATATCTAGAGTGCAGGCTGACGGGGAAGGTAAATATCTTGAATAAAACACATGCATACATAGCACACATTACATACGGACATCGGCACTTACATAGATACAGATGGATATCCATAACAGATATGGCACATCTGGGATGGTTATGCTGGCGCATGCAGTGGGACGACAGATACGAGATTATCCTGCTGCTTCCTTCCTGTCCTCTCACACCGCTCCGTCTTCGCTACTTGAGCTGACCCTTTTTTTTTTTTTCCCTCTCATGCAGCGTTCAACATGCATATGCAGTGTACTTTTCCTGTCTCCCGGCATGTTCTTTGCCTGTGCTCTCATGTTGACGGAGTAATTGAGTCGAGAAGGGTAGGCGGTCGCTCTTGTCGTCACTGTTACTGACCACCCTCGCGCATCCATGGTCATTCAGACGGACAAGCATTCTTGGAAGGCTGCTTGCTGGGCGATAAGCATAGCTGAATGCCTTGCCCTGTCTTTTCTTCCTTCCCGCCCCCTCCACGTAAGAAGACATAGCCTGCAAGGAAGTGTAGCGCACCTGCCCGGCCCGATGCCGTCTCTAGGTTAAGCTAAAAGGGCAGAGGAAGGAGAGGGAGAAGAAGAAAGCAACAAGGACCTCCTGGGGGGAAGGAACCAATGGTTGAGCAGGCAGCACACACTCAAAAGACACATGATCAATCTGCAATGTGCCATGTCATGCAATGCAATGCAGAACGCTGGAAATTGATCTGGGCGACGGAAAGATTGGTTTGATCCTGCCTGGTGGGCAGGTTATAGTTGATTGACCGATATAGTTATATTTCCTTTTCGCTCGTCTGACTGGTTCGTACTCTGTACAAGCCGCAGCTCTGTCTTTTGGTCTGTGCCAGCATCTTCGACTCACTCTTTCTCGCTCCTAAATTTTCGCGTCTTAGGCCAATGAAATTGGTAGACACGGGTGATCCTTCAGCAAATAATCTGCATCTAGCGCTGTCCGTTTTCTTTTTCGCCTGTCTTTCTTTCTTTCTTTCTTGTTTTCCCCTTCCATTCCTCTGCCCCAGGTCTGTTTTACTCGTTCCTCCCTAGCCGTTTTATGTCCCTCGTCTTTTCTTATTCCTCTGGCTTTCTTTTTTTGTTTTGAAAAGATCACGTCCGACCAAGCATTCAGGCAGGTGGGCTGCTCAGTATGCTGGAGACAACAGTTGTGGCTGTCCTGTTTCGGTTTTTTTTTTTTTTTTTTTTTTTTTTTTTTTTTTTTTTTTTCGGTAACGTATCACCCTTGGCCTTGGTTCCTCAATCTCATCGAGAGTACGGAGTAACTGGATTCGCCTTACCTGTCTGTCCCTTGGTTCCTTTTGGTTCCTTGTTGCTTTGGTCGTTTTTTTGCCCTTCAAGTTTCGCTTTATGCGAGAAGGATGCGGTAGCGGCCCGCTCCCGCTACCGCTACCGCAACCGTTACCGTTACCAACACCTGCGCACCGCTAAGAATGTTTAAAAAAAAAAAAATTTTTTTCGTTTTTTCCTTGTTTGTGTTGGTAATATCGAACACAACCGCGGACCAGGTTGAACACTGAGGTCAGATCAACATAGTATTCGAAAGTGCTGGATGTTCATGACTAGATGGAGGTAAAGGTGGACCAAAAGCCTCACCTACCACTTTTCAATGTTCCCCTGGTAGCACGAGATGGTGAGTGACTAGAAAGAGGAAAATGTCCAGAGAACGCGGGGAGATAGCAGGACTGTCTGGTAGGGAATAGAGGACGGAGAAGCCTGCAAAACAAGGCAAAGAAGGCAGCAAAAGCAGCCAGAGGAAGACAAGGTCAAGGACTCCAAGGCCAGGGGAACCAGGCAAACTATACGGTCACCAGACCGGTTGCATATGTGGGTGATGCAGAAAAACATCACACAGGTGAAGGATAAACATAGGAAGCTCGGAAGAAGAGGAGGGGGAAGAAACTAAATTTGGATTCAGACGGCATGATGATGTGCAACGGGACCAGGGATGGGTTGGATGTTGATTGATACCTTTGTATATAGTTGTCTAGATAGAGAGATGGATGATAAAATTAATCATCCATACATATACTCCATCCGGTTAACACAGATACCGGAGGGCTAGGGGAGCAGAAGGCCGCCAGGGTCGGGCTAGGGAAGAAGGGGAAGCTGATCCGGGTTGAGTTCTCTTCCATCTGTCTCTTTTCTCCCGTGACTTGATGGTTGTTTTGAATAATGATAATAATAACTACCTCGATGATTAGTTTGGCTCTCCCCCATCTCAAGCTTGCTGTGCTTGTATCTTTATTTACTTATTTTTCTTTTTCAACGGCTTTCCATACTGAATATAGCCTAGCCTGGCCCTGCGGCATCTTGGGATTGACGGGATGGTTAAGCTAGGTTAAGCTAGGCGTCGAGATAGAGAGCCGCTTACCCATATGCCCACATCTCTCATCTGTCTTCTCTTCCTCCGTTCTGCGGGCTCTCCTGCATGTCATTTCTTGGGAGCACGGCACGGGAAGCGCAAGCTATTGTCTTCTCTGTGGGCTGTCCGTTGTTCGTCGGCGTCGGTGTTGGCGTTGGCGTTGGGGGTGATCTTGTTGGCCGCGCCCTCCCCCTCCCCCCCCCCCCGGCTTTTTTTTTCCAGGTGTTGGTTGAATCACTAATCATTTATTATTATGATCTTTCTTTCCTGTTGCAGCTTGCAGGCCAGTCTATCCTTGCCCTTGACTAGCGCGTTACCCGACCATCGCCCTGTCTCCCAGCATGTAAGGACTGCGTACGAAGGTCGTCCGGCCTATTTTCTACTAGTCTAATGACAACCAGCAGACGGCGTTGGCCGAGGCGAGTCGGCGATAGTTCCGGCGGCGGTTGGCTTGCTGAAAGGGCTGGAGGGGGAAGTAATACCCGCCGGCTCATGTTTTAGGTATATGGAGTCTTCTGGGAGTTTGGTCTCCTTGGGCTCTGTCTCATCCTGGACGGACACGCTGCGAGCTGGGGATATCCTTCCCCCACCCGCTGTCTTCCCTCGCCGCTCGTATCTTCAGCCATCTCATCTTCGTCATCTCTCATCATCAGCCTGCTCGGCTCTCACCACCGCGTGCTGGAGACCTTGCCCCGTCCGCCAGAATAGCCGACCGGCCTCTGGAATCGCTGATGTCGTCGGCGCCTTTCTCAAGTATCGCTCACTGCTGTTGCTGCTGCGTATGTACGTATGTATATGTATGTATATGTACTCCGTACATGTGTGATGTAAGGAAACCGGTACGCCCGTTTCGTACTGTAAAGCGGTATGTCACAGTAGAACCCACGTGACTTCCCAGCTTCCTGGTCTCGGTAACTCCGTAATTTACACGTTTTCTGCCCAGTAAATTTGGGTTATTCGGCTCTTCCGCCCTTCCCTTTCGCTCGATCGCTCGCAAATCCACAAAAGAAAAGAAACGAGACAGCGAGGGAGACAGAGAGAGGGAGAGAGAGCGACAGAGCAGAGAGCTAAGCAAAAGCAAAGCCCACAGAGCCCACAGCCCACAACGTCCACGGAGAGAGCGTGGAACTAGTCGCTTTTGCCCTGTCATTGGGCCGCTGGAGGGACCCGGATCCTTGGGAGCGGGCTGGCGGGCTGGCGGCGAATCTTCTGGCAGGCCCAGCGGTCACGATGGGCGGCCCTCTTTTTATTTTTCACTGACGCAATCAGAGCAGAGTTACTCCGTATACTCCGTACGGTTGCAGCTGAGAAGCAGACGACGAGATGCGATGGACAGAGGCGGGATGTGGACAAAGCTGCTGTCTCAAGAGCTCGCTGAGGCGAAAAAAGTGACCTCCTTCCGCGCCCATCCGGCCGCCCATACCATCCGTCCGCCACGCCCAAAGGAACCTCTCCTCCACCGTAACCAGGAACCAGAGTTGAGGAGACATGGAGACGGCAAATGGCACAAGAGGTTCAGCTTGCTTGCTATCTGGCCCTTTTTTTCTCTGATGGTATCCAGATTACCCGAACGCACCGCTTTGCGACTTGCCTCTTTCGACACTCCCCGCTGGTCAAGCTTAAAAAACAAAGCAAGGTGCCGGAAAGGGGAAAAAAAGGAATACATCACTACACAAGCAAGAGGAAGCAAAAGGGAAAAAGCAAGGAAAAAAAGGGAAAGGGGAGAGAAGGCGAGACTACCGCGGTGCGTTAGACGATATTAATACGGAGTAAAGTCCCGTATTAAGGGCCCTCTTCTAGCTGAAAATAGAGATTTTCTGCTAAGACTGGTCACTTCATGCCAGATACCATGGGCCTTACTGCTGAACCAGAGAATTTGGAGGGAGTACGAAGAATACGGCGATATTTTATCATAGTACATGCAGGTGCGGCCCGATCCTGCTTGAAAATAAAAAAAAAAAATAAATAAATAATAAATAAAAAAGAAAAAGATAAAAGGAAAAAAATAAAAATAAAAATAAAAATAAAAATAAAAAATAGGGTCGGCCCAAAAAGGCTGTACGACGTCGGGCAAAAGGATTGGTGGAATAACTATGTCTAGTTTACGAGCACACAGCTCTCACTCCATGCAGATGAAGAAGCTGGTTGTCTTGATCTTCTGCATCCCCTGTCAGAGCAGCAAGTGGCTGACAAGAAGGTGGAGTGCATTCTATTCTTTTTTTTACATATTAACTACTTATTTTTACGATTCTCGATTTCGTCATACCGCTCCTTTTTGCCTGCACGGGCGGGCTATTAAATCTCCTGGGTTGTTTTTGGGGCTGTTGGTTGGACTGTGACGTGATGACTATCTGCAGCTTCCCGCCTAATACGTGCATATACGCCGTGTGATGAGCAGGAGATTTGAAGAGAAGGGAAAGAAAAGAAAGATGACCGACATGAGCATTGACACACAAGTTTACCATCGGCAACGACTGTCAATGGTACGATCATGCGCTTGGTGCCTTAGGCCGGGAGGAGGAGGGGAAGGGGGGGGGAAGAGGGAATGGGAGGTTCACCAGCCGCCTGATACTACGATATCGGATGGAGGAGATCACGCTTGCAGACCATGGTACGGGTAGGGTGTATATCCAACCATACCTCCTCACCCCCTTCCCCCCTCCCTTCCGTACTCCGTTCTCCTCCGTTCTATTATTAAAAAGGAAGTAGTGTGGTTACAGTTTTAACTTTGTCCAACCTGCATGCATACCACGCGGACGCTACTGCAGCACTCCCCTTCTTACCCGCTTCTCAGAAGGGGGGAAGGGGACCGCCGACGGGACTCCGCAGCAGAAAGGAGATGGAAAGCACATGTACAAAAAGAAGAAAAGCTGATGGTACAGAAGCTGTACAATTGGAGTCATACCTTGGGATAAAATACCAACCGCACAGCCTGATGGTGTGTGTGTACCTGCAGAAGTGGTACGTATGTACATAAGTACTCCGTACAGACGTCTTCCTTGGTTGGGCCCTTTCTTTTTACTTCATTTTCCCCACTGTTTCAACTTTTATGATTTCAGGAAGGGGGAGATATCTTGAGGTTGATAAACGAGATGACGAACTATCTCTTGATCTATTTTACCTCGACGTCAAAGGCCCAGAAGATGGTGAGGGAGACTGCCTGCATACAGAAGCATCTTCATGGACGATAAGGTTCATGCATGAAAGGGCGAATCATCCGAGAGAAGGGGGGGGGGTGGGAAGGACCCCGAAACGGAGTTTATATTACCCTATCGGCAACTGGTCTAGAATGTCCATTGGGCTGTTCGAACAACCGGAAGGAGGGAAAAGAGAGCAACCTGAAAGAGAGGGTCGGAAAGTTTTCTGCGGAACCAGAAAGGAGGGAAAGAGCAATGAGCCCAGGCATGAATGATACAGAGCAAGAAGCAAAAGCAACGAAAGGGAAAGATTGCTTGACTATCGATCGAAGTATTAAACTATGATGCTATCATATGACGCTTAATGGTTCCGCGATAGTTTATCCTGACCATGGTTGAAGGAGGGCGAAGGAAAAGAAAGTATGTTCCCCAGGAGGCATCGAAGGGACGGGCCTTTTCGTTCGCTCTCCCCCGTTTCAGGAGACAGCTCCATCGTCCATTGGTGATGGTGGTTACATTATTCCGTCGGTCCCAAGTGGTTTGTTGTTTGAGGCGGAGGGGGGTACCTTGGCCATGGAGAGAGTCTCGTGGGCATGGTAGATGGGTACGGGATAGGTGGGAAGGCAGTTGATCAGTGATCAGGATGGTCCTTAATGTCCGAGGGAGAGGAAGTAGAGGAAGAAGGGGGGGGAGGGAAGGGTGGCAGTGGCAGGTGGCCAGTGGCGAAGGGATAACAAAGTACCTGGGCGTCAGATGATCTCATAGAACAACTTGTCTTGGTGACTCTACAGCCCGAACGTCTGTCTCTGATATCTATGTCTATCTTATATCTTTATCCATTGATACACATACCTTATATATATATATATATAAAGATATCTATATGATCGCAGGCTGGAGGAGTTCGTTACAACAATTATCAAGCTGCTCCCGTAAGGCTGTGTCGTTTGTACGGTAAGGTTATATATTACGGTAAGGTTATATGGTAAAACCGACCGTACTGTAACTTACCGGCGAATACGAGGATATCAAAAGGGCCGCCACGATGACGAGGAGAGGCAGCAAAAGCAGACGCTGGAGAAGATGATAGGACGCTGCAGCAGAGTAACCAGAAGTGGCAGATGCTAGGGCAGAGGCGAGTAGCAGAAGGAACTGAGAGCGAGCAGCGCCAGCAGAGGGACGACAGAGCAAAGGGGGGAGCCCCAGGAGAGCAATGACAGGCGTAAAGAAAAGGAGCCAAAAGTCGCAAACTTAGGGGCTAACTTTTAAATTAGTCTATCCCGACTCTGTGGACAGCCCTTTTCTTTTCTTTTCTTCTTCTTCTGCTTCTCTTTTCTTCTTCTGCTTCCTTTTCTTCCTCAGTCCGCAGTCTCTTTCTCTCTTAATAAACTAGACTGCCTGCTGTTGCTCCTTGGTCCTTTCTTCCCATCTTCCTCGCCCATCCCCAGCACAACAAGGAGACGGCTAAAAAGCCAAAAGGAAAGCAACCTGCTTAGACCAGGAAGAAAAGAAAAGAAAAAGCATTCAGGCAAACCCACCGTCCGTCCGTTTTTCTTACTTATCATCCTCTCGTTTCTTCTTCCGCTACCACACACCGTCAGAAGAGGAAGCAGAGAGAAAAAGGGCAAGGAGGAAAAAGAAACGACCCGGTAGCATCAGCCTGGCCTCCCTCTCTCTCTCCCCCTCGTTTCTCTCTCTTTTTCTGGCCGTCGCCGTCGTTTCTTCTTCGTTCTCTGCCATTTTTTTGTGGTGGAGTCGAAATAAGCTGACCCAAACACGGCACAGACCACACTTATCTTTTGACGTCTCGTCGTCCTTCTTGTCTTTTCCAACTTCACCTCCTGCAACCTCACCTCTTCAACGTCTGCTCTCCAAACGCCAGCGTCACCGTCCTCTTCTCCTCTCTCTCTCTCTTCTCTCTCCTTGTTCTTCTTCTCTTTTCTTCTTCTTCTTCCTCTTCCTCTTCTTTTCCTTCTTCTCTTTCTTTTTGCCAGTGGGTGGCTCGCCGTCTCTTTTCGACTCGCAGAAAAAAAAAGGTAAACCCCCCGTCTCTTCCTCTCTTCTCTCTCTCTCTCTCTCTCTCTTTGAAGTCTCTTCTGTCTCTTCTGTCTCTTCTCTCTCTCTCTCTCTCTCTCTCTCTCTCTCTCGCCGTTTTGCTTGCTTTCCGTGTTTCTTTTCCTCTCCTCCGTTTCTTGATTTCTGCGTTGTATCTACTTCCGGGTGGCTGGCGTCCTTTGTACTCTGCGAACTGCGTCATTTGTTGCCAAATAATACCGATCTCCTTTTCCTTTGGCTTGCGTCGAGATCGAGAGGAAAGGAGAAGAAGGAGAGTCAGAACTCCCTCCAGTTCCGCTCCTCTCTTCACGATCAGCACCTCTTCTGCGGATCCCGCTCCTCCCTCTTCTACTTCTCCGTCAATCGAGTGCGTCAGTAGCGGGCCAGGGCTTCTTCGGTGGGAAGTTTGGGCAAATACGACACCGGCACAGCCTCTTTTCACCGCTCAAATCGGCTTCTCCTCTCTTTTTCACACATGCTCCCTCTCTACTCCGGCCCTCTCTTTT